CTGACACCAGGGGGCTTGGGCCTCCATCAACAGATGGAAACTTGCTCCATTCCAAACAGGTTCAAGCTTCCTGCAAAAGACCCATCCTCGCTCTAAGAAGCTGAGGCCTCAAACCTCCACATCCACGGACCAGTGCCCCTCTCCCCCAGCGGTACCCGCGCTACAGAAACCAGTGGCCTTCAGGGCATTGTAGGCTCTGAGTCTTCCCTTATACATGCTGGGAAGAGTAGGTTGGCACACTCTGAAATCAGGACCAACTCACTCCAATTTTTTATTTGAAAAAATAAAAAGGCCTCCCATTAGCCTTCAGCTGATGAAAGACAGGCTCAGCAGGAAATTTACATCTATCAAACGGGCTATTATTGGGAAATTAGACAAGGAGGCCATTAGATTGGGGTGGTTCTGATGCCTTGGTAGCTACATAAACACCCCCAAGCCTAAGTCAGAATCAATGTACTCGAACCTGAGAAAATGACACTTAGGGACAACCAATCACAAACAGCCAACTGAGCTTTCCCAAGTAAGGCAACTGCTTCAGCTACAGCCAAGCAAATAATTTCTTCATTTTGCTTCAGCATCTTCTCTATAAAAAGTTTGCCCCTAGCTCCTGTCAGTGGTGTGCTCTTAACCACCTTTGGTTTTGTGCTGCCTGATTCGGATGGATATATGTTCAAATACGCTCGAAAATTTTTAATGTGCCTCAGTTTCTTTTTAACACGGAACAGAAACTCTTAATTTAAATGGGAGATATCGGACATCCAAGCTGACTCTCCCCTTTGACCCGGGAAAGAGTTTCTCATTCAGGCTGCTAAGAGCAAGGATAAAACAGAGTATTTAACACCACTGAATTGTGCATTCAAAAGTTAATCAAAATGATAAATTTTATGTTATGTATATTTTACCACCAAAAAGGAAAAGGAGAAGCAGGGAAAAGAGATAAGTGAGGGGCTCTGAGAGCAGCAGGGCAGGGGGCAGCAGGGCAGGGAGAGAGCATGTTGACATCCTACATAACCTCCTTAGAAAGGCAGCCATGAAATACTCCTGTGAGTCTGTTGATGTGACTTCATTTCCAGGAAGGCCTGGGTGGGGACTGGCTCTGGGGACATTAGGCTGATGAACTGGAAATACGGGGAAAGGCCTGGGACTGAGTCAGTAGCAGCAACCAAAGCCAGACCCTTCCAGTAGGCCTCTTTCTCCCACGCCCCAGGCTTCCACATCACACCCCTACCCCTACCAACACTGCCATGAACTGGGAGGCCAGGAGGAGCATCCTTTTATTTATTCATGTATGTATGTATGTATGTATGTATGTATTTATTTTTATTGAAGTATAGTTGATTTACTATGTTGTGTTAGATTCAGGTATACAACAAAGTGATTCAGACAGATAGATAGATACATACATACATACTCTTTTTTCATATTCTTTTCCATTATAGTTTATTGCATGCTATCGAATATAGTTCCCTGTGCTATGCAGTAGGTCCTTGTTGTTAACTATTTTATACATAGTGGTATGTATATGTTAACCCCAAACGCCTAATTTATCCCTTCTCCCTCTTTCCCCTTTAGTAACTATAAATTTGCTTTCTATGTCAGCGCCTCTATTTCTGTTTTGTGAATAAGTTCATTTGTTTTGTTTTGTTTTGTTTTTTAACATCTTTATTGGAGTATAATTGCTTTACAATGGTGTGTTAGTTTCTGCTGTATAACAAAGTGAATCAGTTATACATATGTTCCCATATCTCTTCCCTCTTGCGTCTCCCTCCCTCCCACCCTCCCTATCTCACCCCTCCAGGCGGTCACAAAGCGCCGAGCTGATCTCCCCGTGCTATGCGGCTGCTTCCCACTAGCTAGCTATTTTACGTTTGGTAGTGTATATATGTCCATGCCTCTCTCTCGCTTTGTCACAGCTCACCATATTTTAGATTCCATCTATAAGCGATATCATGTGATTTTTGTCTTTCTCTTTCTGACTTACTTCACTTAGTATGATAATCTCTAGGTCCAGCCATGTTGCTGCAAATGGTATTATTTCATTCTTTTTTATGACTGAGTAGTATTCCATTGTATATGTATACCACATCTTCTTTATCCAGGAGAAACAATCTATTGGGAAATTACTGTCAGCAGGCACCATGACAGGAAGGGCAGGGGGGATGGAGAGGACTAAGAAAAATGCCAGGCTCACCAAAGCCCTTGACTTGTTTCCACCTCTAACTTGCAGGTTCCTACTAGGGCCAGGAGGAGGGAAAGGAGGAAAAGGATGCTCAGGTCCCAGCCATCTGAGGCAGGGGCTCTCTGGTTTCACTCAGATACTGATGCTTGTGAGGGACATCAGAAAAAAGGCACAATCTCCCCTCACTCCACCCAACAGCCCAGCCTGGCAAATGCGGGTCTCTAAGGGGATGGGCTCTGGTGTGCGAGCAGCGAGGCTGAGCTCAGGAAGCAGCTCCTCTCTGTTCTTGGTATTTGGGAGGAGAGAGGAGATGAGGTTCATAGCAGTTATCCCTTTCATCAGCTACATCCCCACTAAGCAGGAGAAGGAGCCCTGTAATTCCCTATGTCCCCATAATGACCGGCTATCTGCTCTTTCCCTCAGCTTCTACAGGCTGAACTGTAGGGGCTTTCCCTAAAAATGAAATTCCACCACATATAACAAAATATGGGAGGTGGTCGAGGTCTCTCAATGCTAGGCAAGTAGAGTCATGGAATTAAGGTGCCCTATTTCAGAAAGAAAGAAAAATAATTTTTCTGGTTCTGGGAAGGACCCATGTGGGATTTCCAAAGAAAGTAGGAATTTAGAGATAGAGTCGAGTGAGGCCAGCAGCTAGGCAAGACTGCTGGGGGGCAAGGTCCATCTTCCTGCCCCTGATGGATAGCACCTCCTCAGCACGTTGACGCAAACACAAACACACACACACACACACAGACTCACCCAAAGTGCTGCCCATCACTAACATTTTCAATTTCGGACCTGACAAGCCAGGCTTCCTGACAGCTGGCCCAGTATCCAATCTTCCTGATGGAGCTTCATCTCTGACTAGAGGCTCAGCAGTTTGTCCAGAAACGTACTTTAGGTGTGGGAGGCAGGAGACCAGAAGGACCAGGAGATGCACAGAAAATAAGAGATGAGATAGGGGGACTCCCAGCCTGGTCTCTCATTCATAACAGTATGTATTGAGCTCCTGCTGTGTTTCAGGCATTATCCCCAATAACCCCATGAAGTAGCTATTCTTGTGGGGAGCAGGGTACAGGGTGGTGGAAGGGGCGTAAGCTTGGGAATCAGCTCTTGGATTCAACTCCTGCTCTGCCATACATCAGGTGGAGAAGCTGGTGAGCAAACAGACGATCCATTCCAGGAAATGGACAGGCTATCATCAAAGCACTGGGTTCAGCGGCGGCCAAATGAACAGGCCCCATGGAGGAGGGGGTGCTGGAGCCAGAGGCTGAGTGGAGTTCACTCAACAGACGTGGAGAGAAGAAGCTCCAGCCAGCATGAGTCATGTTTATGAAGGCAGAAGGACAGACAGAGCCCAGTGCATTTGGGGGCAGTGCACAGGGGTACAGATTGGAAGTGACGAGCAGCAGGGGTGAGACGGGAGCCTGGTCAGGCATGCTGATACAGGTAGATTTCTTCTTGTGGATGATGAAGGACTATTATATTTGAAGGAATCTTCAGCAAGGACGAGATGGATGAGCGGAGTCAAGTGTGGAGATGCTCTGTCGACCAGTGAGGCTACGTCAATAGATGGGGTGAGCGTGGAGAGAGCCCAGCCCTAGGTGGCAGAGGTGGGGTGGGACCGTGGGACAGGCTTGAGAAACCTGCGGCTGTGCGAGTGGGTGGAGGGGGAGGGAGAGTAGCAGATAATGGACGTTTGGGGAAATGTGTAGGAGTCGATGTAATTCACCGATTCAGGGCGTGCGGGAGAAGGAACACGCATCTGTCAGGGTCCCCGCAAGAAGCGGGGAGGGACCCAAATTAGGACAGTGCAGGGAGAGTTTTCTCATAAAAGTGTGTGTGGGTTTGGTGTAGGGGAAAGACAAGGGCTAGTGCAGCAACTTGGGGCTGGTAACGGCAGAGGGGAGGAGTTCCAGGCCAGAAGACAAGGGAGAAGACAGTTGCATAGACCAGAAGGAGAGAGCCACGTAGAGGAGTTCTCTTGAGAGGTTCTGCGACCTTCTGGCCAAGGGACTGCCAACCCAGGTGACCTCACCGGGAGCATGCCAGAGGAGTAAATGCCTAGTTCCATTTTCTTCCTTTCCTCCAGTGATGTGAGGGACCTACTAGCCAAAGCCAACTGGAGACCAGCCAGCACAGGAGCCCACGGATGCCATTCCCCAGGTCAGCCTCCAGGAGGCAAAGCAAGGCAAAGAAGTGGGGGAGTGGACCTGAGGAGCAAAGAGCAGATTAGAGGGGTGCAGCACTCTGCCTGAGAGCAAGCCCCGTCTCTGCTGCTCGTCACTGTGTGGCCTCGGCCAAGTCACTGAACCTCTCTGATCCTCACACAGAGGTTGGGCCTGAATACTTAGGAGTCATCAGCGGAAAGGTAGACACCTTGGTGTGGCCGCCATTTCCTAGAGAATGTGTAGTAGGGTCAGAGAGACTGCGGACCTGGGGGAGGTTGAGGAAGGAGCCCAGGGAAGGACACTGGGAAGGAGCAACCAGAGAGTGGGCAGCGTCCTCCTCTGGCCTCCTCAGCACTTATCTCTCAACCTCTCTCACTGGATTTTGTTGTCACTGTTTCCATGTGGCTCCACTCAAAGTGTGAGCACCTTTGTCCCCACCCCCTGCCCAGCTAGGCTGACACCTACTCAGTCCTCGTGGGTTGAGTGGCTAAGTCAAAACTGAAGAATCTGCTTCTGAGAACTGGGGGACTGGTCAGTGGGCTCCAGCAGAAGGTAGAAGACAACCTGGGGTTGGAGTCAGGATCTCAGGCTGAGGAATGACCCCAAGACCTTGCGTCCACTCGATGGACACCTACTAGGGATTGTGAAAAGGAAATCAAAATGGAGTCGGTTTTGGTAAGTGAGCTCTCTAAAACAGAGCCAGGAGGCCTCTGAGGAAGTGTGACTTATGCACGTCCCAGCCTGGGTGGAAGCTGAACTTTTGACCACTTAGTGTCCTGACAAAGACATCCAGAACTCCTGCCAGAAGCTCAAGATGCTTATCAGACCCTAACCCTAAAACAACCCGTGATGGTCTATCCCTGAAGGACAAATATTTCCTTTCTCGTGTCAGAAGGCAGCCTCATGGCTTTTGCCTTTATAAGCCCCTGATTGTTTTTTTTCCCCAGAACACTTTTTCAGTTTTACCCAAATCTTTCTCCCAAACTGCAATTCTTAAGACCCCCAAATAAAGTTCTTTGTTCTTTGCAGCCTTGATACTGGTTATTGTGCAATAGGATTACCACGTGACCGGCACTGTGCTCAAGACTAGAGGCTCTGACCTGTGCTCGGAGAGATGGCCACCGGGGTAAGTGTGACAGTTCCCCACAACAGAGCCATCCACATGGCCTCACTGAGCGCAGACCGTTGTTAGTGGGATGTGGGCCGGGGCCGGGTGGGGGGCGGGGGGTGGTATTAGGCAGGTTGGAAGGTGAGGGAAGTTGAAAAGCATCCTGGGAATGAGCAGAGCCTGATTTTGGAGGGAGGGGGGAGCGTGTGTGGGAATGTGCAGAAATGAACTCAGTTTAGTGTTGTTTAAAGTTTTTTTTAATTTAGTTAAAAATTCAATGCAAGAAGGAGTGAGAGACCAGATTCGGTGGGTAAGCAGGCAGGAGCTCATGAAGGAACTGAGTGCCCAAACTTGGACTTTTAATCAAGTTCAAGACAATGGGGACCCCTGAAGGGTTTTGAGAGGAGAAGAACATAGTCAGGTGTGCTCTGGAGTGGCCTGCTGCAGAGGGAAGGTTAGCAAGCATCACCCAGATGGTCGTTATAACAACACGTACTGTGAAAAGCTTCTCTGAGTGCAGCTTTTGCACTTGCAGATGCTAGAAAGGTCCCAACCCACCTGGCTGGGATGCAAAGTCCAGGTCCCTGGTGAGGGCGAAAACACAAGAAAGAAAACATGAAACAGTTCGTCTTCTCCTACTAGGAACCCATCCACCTGGAAGAGCTAATATAAGCGCAAGACCCAACACAGCCCTCCTGCCCGCTCTGGGCTATGCCATTAAAAACCCAAAAGGCTGTGGTCTGTGAGCTGCCGTGAGGAAGCAAATGGTTGTTTCCCGGTCCCCGGAAAAGAGTGAGCTCCACAGTCCCTCACACAGGATGAGCCATGGAAACACGTGGCAAGTAAAAACTCAGGGTGGTCCGAACACGGCGATGATGGAGCATCAGAGCAGACAGCTGCAGGAGCCACCTGCCCACGCAGCCCGTGAGGACACAGAGGCAGGGCCTCACAGAAAGGAAGCAGGTATCATTTCCAGCCGGTGCTGACTGAACAATACAATAAATGGAAGCTGCTCTATATTGGGTCATAAATCTGAGCTGGCCAATTTCCCACTGAAATAAGTCAGCTGCATCCTCCTGGAGAGCCCCGGGGGGCCCCTGGCCCAGTTCAGGCCCTGCATTACTCTCTTCTTCTCATGAAAGAATAATCCTTCAATTTCTGAAGCTGCAGAGAGTATGTGGGTGATTGTTTTAATATTATTCTTCAACCCATGTTGAAATATTTCATTAAATAAAAGCAGTTAAATTAAAAACAAATAATTCTCTTGGTGGCATATTGGGGACCCTCTTCAGCCAAGGGACATTTTCTACTTTCCTCTATTTTTTTTTCTCATGTAAGAGTTAGCAACTGGGGCTTCCCTGGTGGCGAGTGGTTGAGAGTCTGCCTGCTGACGCAGGGGACACGGGTTCGTGCCCTGGTCCGGGAGGATCCCACATGCCGCGGAGCGGCTGGGCCCGTGAGCCATGGCCACTGAGCCTGCGCGTCCGGAGCCTGTGCTCCGCAACGGGAGAGGCCACAACAGTGAGAGGCCCGCGTACCGCAAAAAATAAATAATGATAATAATAATAATAGTAAGAGTTAGCGACTGAACATAACTTTTCTTGAGAACATCTTGAGATCAGCAGGGTATGAAGTGGCACAGTTGAATCCTTTAAAGTAGGGGGTCTTGGGAAGCATAGCCAGCCAGGGGTCAGTACTCGACCCGAGGGCATGGGCCAGCTGCAAATCACCAGGGACAGAGCTCTGCCCCTTGCCTACCCTCAGGAAGAAGGAAACCCCAGCCCCGCTTCAAGCTGCCCTGCCTAGAGATGGAAAAAGTCCTAGGGCTGGATGAGGAACAGGCAGGAGCAGAGGCTGCCTGTGGCAACGTGAGAAGAGTCATATCAAGTCTTAAATCAGAAAATGGTAGGAGCAGAAAAAGACGCGTGGCTCTCCTTAACCCAACTTCCTCCATCTCCCTCCACCTTTCTGGGTTAGTCTCTGATGTACAGCAAGGTGTATACATATTCTTTTTCATATCCTTTTCCATTATGGTTTACTACAGGATAGTGAATATAGTTCCCTGTGCCATACGGTAGGACCCTGTTGTTTATCTATTTTATATATAGTAGTGTGTATCTGTTAATCCCAAACTCCTAATTTATCCCTCCCCACTCTTTCCCCTTTGATAACCATAAATTTGTTTTCTATGTCTGTGCATCCGTTTCTGTTTTGTAAGGTCATTTGTGTCATATTTTAGATTCCACATATAAGTGATGTCGTGTGATATTTGTCTTTCTCTTTCTGATTTTCTTCACTTAGCGTGATCATCTCTAGGTCCATTCATGTCACCTCAAATGGCATTTTTCATTCTTCTTTTAATGGCTAATAGTCCATTGTATACATGTCTAACATCTTCTTTATCCATTCATCTGTTGATGGACATTTAGGTTGCTTCCATGTCCTGGCTATTGTAAATAGTGCTGTTATGAACATTGGGGTACATGTACCTTTTTGAATTAGACTTTTCTCTGGATACATACCCAGGAGTGGGATTGCTGTATCATATGGCAAATCTATTTTTAGTTTTTTAAGGAACCTCCATACTCTGCCCTCATTCTTATTGGGAAAAACAAACAGACAAACAAAACAGGAAATCCTGCCTATGATTATAAACTAATTCAGGAAAGTCAAATGATTTCATTCCATATGCCAATGCTGATTGATTATAATGGCTGCCTAGAGGAATGTGTTGAGACTGGGTCTGAAGTCATCTCTGGGCTCCGTGGGAGAGAACGCCAGCACTGACTGGTGATGTCTGTCACGCGTACAGGATGGGAAACTGTTGGCACACGTGCCATGTATTTTCTAATCACGGAACTGTGTTCAGAAATAATCCATTTATACTGGATTTATCCTTGAAAATATCAATGAGATAACAGCCAAAGGCTCAGGATCAAGGGAGTTTCAACTCCTAGTAGGAGGCCCCAGTTACGTTTTTGTCTCTAATCACAGAAATGAATTCTAGCAGTGCATTTAGCCTCCTGGTTCAGGTCAACGAGTTGGAATTACAGTTCTTCCTTTGAGAGCTATAGATTGTTGGTGCGGGGAATGGGGTTATGACTCATCAACGTTTTCCCCAGCTCTAGTGGTTCATGAAATAAACTGCTTAAAACAAACAAACAGGGCTTCCCTGGTGGTGCAGTGGTTGAGAGTCCGCCTGCCGATGCAGGGGATGCGGGTTCATGCCCCGGTCTGGGAAGATCCCACACGCCACGGAGCGGCTGGGCCCGTGAGCCGTGGCCGCTGAGCCTGCGCGTCCGGAGCCTGTGCTCTGCAACGGAAGAGGCCACAACAGCGAGAGGCCCGCGTACCGCAAACAAACAAACAAACAAACAAACAAACAAAAACACCTTTTGGCAAAGAGGTCAGGGCTGAACCTTGGAAAGGCTGCCCGGGAACATTGCCTCCTGGACTGCCAATCCTTTCTAAGGACGTGGCCCCCCTGGGTGGCCGCCCTGGGCGGAGGCCAGGTGACACATAAACATGGGCCAAGATGATTCCCGTAGGCTCAGAGGATTCACCACAAAGTGAAATACTCTTCTTTTACTCAGTTAGTGGTTCATTTCAGCTGAAAATAAGACCTAGCATGTGCAGGTCTCAAGGTCAACAGTTCCTACCATGTCCATGCAACAGTCCTTTGAGAATTCTTTCCCCGAGGCCAACAATTAATTCCCTTTAGGAAACAGGACTGGAGTGGCTGGAAGGGGGTCAGCCATCCTAACAGGGCTGGGCCCCATTCTCTGCTCTTGCTGTTCTGGTTCCAAATCCAGTATGGACAGAGGGGTGTGCACACAGTCTTGGAGCATCCTTGTGGGAAAGGCGCTCTCTCTCTCTCTCATAGGATTTGAACAAGATAACAGGCCCATCCTGAATACAGTTCGATAGATTTACAGACAAAAGGAGTATGTGTCACTTGCAAAGCAAGCCCCTCAGTACCAACAAGCTCAGTCTGCTGGAAAAGGCTCCGTGTCCCCCTGGGGTGCAGCCCAGAGAGGAGGCATATGGCTGGACACAGAAGAAAACAAAGTTGGGCAGAACATACTTTGGATGAGTTAATGAGCCCAGGACTGAAGCTCCTTTATTGATGTGGGGAAATGTTAACATTATATGGCTAAGTGGAAAAAGCTGGAAACAAAAAAGAATATACAATGTAATCCCCATTTTACACGTGTGTGTGTGTGTGTGTGTGTGTGTGTGTGTGTGTGAAGGCATGGACACACACAAAGAACAAGATGGAAAAGAGAGGAACTAAAATGTTCACATTTTATCTTGGCAAGGAGGAACTGCTAATGACCCTGGGTTTGGTTTATTTGTCTTGGTGGTTCTTTTGTCTTCATACGTTTCTACATTTTCTGTTTTCTATTTGCGCACACATTCTTTCGGTAATAGAAAATGAAGTAAGTGTTACTTTAGAATAATTATAAAAGAGTGGGAAAGGGAATAATAAAAAAGAACATGAGTATTGGAATTATTTAGAACTAATAATAATCCTCATTCTGTCCCATCTTAGCTGGTGTCCTTGGACAAATTATCCTCCCTGGCCTCTGGTGCTCTCCCTAAAGCACCTACACAGTACATGCTTAGACAGAGAAGGCAGACCTACTGTTTTTATGGTGGTTGGTTATTGTTTTCAGAGCAAGGGTGCTTAGCAGCCAGCAAAAGATGATTGTGGTGCTAGGGAGAGATTTTTGGTTTCCCCTGCTGAGACCGAGGGTCTAGAGTGGACGTGAGGCAGCCTGGTGGATGCCAGGAAATGGTGCAGCTGGGAGGTGCCCACACTCACCATCCAAACCCTCCGCAGTGCCCTCCAACCCAAGCATGGGGAGTGCAGACCAGCAGAGACCTTTGGGACCTGGTCAGCAAGATTCCAGCCGCATCCGTGGCCATGACTAATGTGAGCTGACATTCAAGAGTCTGGGACACAGCCAGCAGACATTTTCTTTGTGAAATACTGTGTAAGTGCTTATGAGTAGGGGGCCAAGCCAGGCTGGAAGGGGGGATAGATGGATTCACCTGCAAGTTGTTGAGACCCACAGCCAAGTAAAGTGGCTGGACCTCCATGGCAGAGGCACGAGGGACACAGGGGATACCAGGATGGGGCTGAGCATGGCTCCAAGGGCTTTGGGGACATCGTGCAACGTGGGAAAGATCATCCACAGTGGCCCAGCAGCTTCTGCCAAAAGGAGCAGTCCCAGGTCCATTCTGCCGTGTAAATCTGGCTCCAAAACGCTCAATTTCAGCAAGAGCTCCCCAGAGTTCCCAGCTGGGCACATAATTTCACCTTCTTAATAAATCACCGGGAGTCCTCCTGTCCTAAGAAAAACAAGAAGAGGAACAGCCAGAATCTGTCAAGAAATTAATTGAAAACAGCAAAATAAGACAATATAATTCCTTTCTCAAGGGCAGCCTTGGAAGTCGGGTACTGTCCCTCTGAGGCCTGCTGACCCAGGGGCCCCCAGCTGCTGGGAGGAGGTGCTCCGGCCTCCAGCAAACTGTAGCTCTTCCCTCTCTAGCAAAGCTACAAACAGCACATCTTTGTGCACCTCCCAACCCAGGAGCCAGGGCCACAGACATCACGTGGCATCAAGAATGGCTCTTCTAAGAAAAGCTAGAAAAAAATGCCTCTGTGTATTATGTGCACCTGAAAAAGGCGCTTGTGTGTGTTCATTATATGTTTCATTTATGTGTTTGCATCCTTTCTTGTGTGATGATGACCAAACTAGGATCCGAGCATCTTAGAGCTGGACGGAAACCCTGAGATTAGACAGCACCCCCAGTGCCCAGCATTGCACCCAGGACTCAGGTGCCATGTCCTCATTTGATGGGTAGGACTATGGTCATGGTCACAGACACAGTTAAATGCAGGTCTTCTGCTCCCAAGTGGCTCTATCCCATTGGTCCTTCTTCAGTTCCATTCAGCAAACCAGAGCACACAGTGAGAAGGCAAAGCTGAATAAGACAGAGCCCCTACCCTCGAGGGGCTGGTGGGAAAAGCAAGGATGTACATGACTGTGATGTTAAGAAATAATACTAATAATTCAAAACCTGGAAATAAGGCCACAAGAGGACAGTAAGTCCTTCCAATGTCATTTGGTCATTGTTTCGCAAGTCCACCCAAGGATTATTTAATCACCCAGGGGAAGGTATCTTTGTTTAATGGCTATTTACCATAAATTAAGGGCTCAGACTCTGTGAAGTTACATGTTAACTTGTAGATCATGTCCAGTAAAGGTATAAATAATGTCTATTCAATAGAAAGCATAACATTAAAGACTGATTTTTTTAACTGCCTTGTAAGACATTAACTAGTTGTTTTGTTTTTATTTGGGTAAAATACACATAAGATAAAATTTTACCATCTTAACCATTTTTAAGTGTACAGCTGTGTCATTAACTATATTCACATTGTTACCATCACCGCCATCCATCTCAAGGACCCCTTTCCTCCTGCAACACTGACACTCTACACCCATTAAACATAACTCCCCATTCTCCCCTCCCACCAGCACCTGGCAACCAAAGTCTACTTTCGGTCTCTATGAATTTGACTATGCTACATATCTCATATTAGTGGAATCGTGCAGTACTTGTCCATGAGACTGGTTTATTTCACTTAGTATAATGTCCTTAAGTTTCATTCATATTGTAGCATGAGTCAGAGTTCCTTTCCTTTTTAAGGCTGAATCATATTTCATTGTACATATACACCACATTTTGCTCATCCATTCGTCTGTCCATGGACACTTGGGCTGCTTCCACCTTTTGGCTGTTGTGAATAATACTCCTATAAACTTGGGTGTTCAAACATCTGTTGAGACTCTGCTTTCCGTTCTTGTGGATATATATCCAGAAGTGGAATTGATGGATCATATAATAACTCTACGTCTAATTTTTTGTGGAACTACCATACTGTTTTCCACAGTGGCTGTCCTGTTTTACATTCCCACCAACAGTGCACAAAGGTTCCGATTTCTCCGGATCCTTCCCAACACTTGCTACTTTTTGGTTTTTTTATTCTAATGGGTATAAGGTATCTCATTGTGGTTTTGATTTGTACTTCCCCAGTGATTAGTGATGTTGAGTATCTTTTCATGTGCTTATTGGCCATTTGTATATCTTCTTTGGAGAAACGTCAATTCAAGTCCTATGCCCATTTTTTAAACCAGGTTGTTTGGGTTTTTTGTTGTTGAGTTGCAGGAGTTCTTTTATATATTCTGGATATTAACCCCTTATCTGATACATGATTTGCAAATGTTTTCTCCCATTCCATGGGCTGTCTTTTCACTCTGTTGATAGTGTGTTTCCATGCACAAAAGTTTTTAATTTTGATATAGTCCAACTTATCTATTTTTTTCTTTTGCTTCCTGTGCTTTTGGTGTCATATCCAAGAAATCATTGCCAAATCCAACGTCATCAAGTTTTTCCCTTACGCTTTCTTCTGAGTTTGATAGCTTTAGCTTTTCCATTTAGGTCTTTTGATCTGCTTAGAGTTAACTTTAGTACATGGTATAAGGTAAGAATTCAACTTCATTCTTTTACACATGGGTGTTCCACTTTCCCAGCACCAGTTGTTAAAAAAGACCATCTTTTCCCCATTGAATGGTCTTGGCATGCTTGCCAAAAATCATTTGACCATACATGTGAGGGCAACCAGTTTTGTTCTTAACCTAGATATTTTACTTGAACATTTCCTTTTAAGTGCTTGTAAATACCCAGTTCCTCAAAATGCTCTTTGAACCAGCTTTGCCAACTTATTGGTTCCCTCATTCGTGAATTACTAAATCTTTGACACCTGCCCATTCCATATTTTATGAGAGCCATGTTTTTAAATGTGTGAACATTATGCTTTGACAGTAACATACAAAGTGCTGTGGGTGTCGGGGTGAAGATCATCTCTAATCGAGGGATTCAAACACCTTTTCACTTTTGAAATCAGCCTGATGATTGATGGGTAGACTTTTGGCAGATAGACATGGTGGTTTGGAGCGAACATTAAAGACCGCGGAAACAGCAGGAAGAGTGTTTTCCTTCCTGTTTGCTTCCTTTCTTGTGTGTCTTAGCCAACAAAGTCTGTTGGCCAACACAGATGTGACACTTTCCATGAGAAAGCCTTAGGGAAAAAAAAGCCTCTTGCCTCTTTCATATGTCATTTCTCTTCAGGACAGCTCCCTGCTACAGCTCCAAGTCCTCTCAAGCCTCCACCTCCACCGCACCCCCTTCCCCTACCTGACAAGAGGCTAGAAAGGGCCTAGGCCTTTCCATCCATACTTTAGATTCATCTCTGATTCTGCCTTAACTAGGGAATTGCATTTCCTGGCTGTCTCCATCCCACCACATGGGGCCTCCATGAAATATCTCCCTGACAGACTCTAAAGGTTACCAGCAACAATCACAGGGATAAACAGCAAACAAGCCCGGGACAGAGCAGCCACCTCTGTCTGATCCAAAGTGGTATTAATTAGAAACCTTAACTTCTGGCCACAGAGGATAAGAGCTGCCGCCCTCAAGTGACCTTTGCCTTGGCAGAGTGTCCCCAGCCACGGCTGGCGGCAAAGCCCCTCTCTTTGGGGATCTTTACTCTGCAGGGTGCTTCTGTCCTGCTTGAACTTAACGCTGAGACTTGTGTTCCCTGAGGATCTCAGGTGTGCACATTCCTCCTTGGGTTTTTTCTTTTTGCGTTACGCGGGCCTCTCACTGTTGTGGCCTCTCCCGTAGCGGAGCACAGGCTCCGGACACGCAGGCTCAGCGGCCATGGCTCACGGGCCCAGCCGCTCCGCGGCATGTGGGATCTTCCCAGACCGGGGCACGAACCCGCATCCCCTGCATCGGCAGGCGGACTCCCAACCACTGCGCCACCAGGGAAGCCCCCTCCTTGGGTTTTTGAGATCACATTGTTGTGGCCCCCAGGCCATTCCCACCTGAGCTTCCTAGCCCATGGCCGTGGCATTTCCTCAGGCTCTCGGCGGCCACAGCAGCCTGTACGGTGGCTTGACACTGGATGTCCCAGCTTCTGGCTTGCTGAGAGGCTGTCGCTGACCTCCCCCTCCTCCATGGGAACCCATGCACAGCGGTAACCCAGAGGAGCCTCAGCAGAGCCTGTGCCTTGCGTGCTGCTGAGACCCATGGCCTTGGGCCTGCCCACTCCTCTACCGCTCCCAGAGCCTCAGCTGTCCAGACACCCTGACTGAGGCCTCCAGGCATCCCAGCCCCTCAGACTTGGCTCAGCCTCTACCACTGGTAAAGACACCTCCCCGCTGGGGTCAGCAGGGCTCCCTAAGGGGCTGACCAAGGAAGGAGTGAGTGGGGTGAAGACTCAGTGATCTCGAAGCAGGGCTGCTGGGCTACTTTCCTGGCTGGGTAACCAGTGCGTTCTCTGAGTGGTTGAGGGCAGACTCAGGGTGAGCCAGCCTCCACCCTTTCACCCTTCACTAGCTCAGCAACCTTGGGCAAATCACTCAACCTCTCTGAGCCTCAGTTTCCACATCCGTAAAATGGTGCTCATAATAACACCTCAGAAAGCTGCTCGACAGTAAATATAAAACACTTAGTACGGCACCTGGCAATAATCAATCCTCAACAAATGTTAACTATTTCTTGGGGGTCAGGGGTGGGTTTTGTCCCACTTGTGCAGTTGTATGTACACAAAGAACACGAAGTCCTAGGGGAAGGACAAGTGGAACAAAGGCCAGAGATCGTGCAATTCATTTCTCCAGGCCTTCTCTTTGCTGACCAATGTTTCTACCAACTCATAGAGAAGGCTGTCCTACTTTCATATTTGCTTGTCCAGAGAGTGATAAACTGTTATCTCCTTAAAGTCATCCAGCCTGCGTTCAGACGGGCCCTTCTCCACCTTGACAGATGGGATTACATTCATCTCCCTTCCCCTTTGGCAACTGGAAAGATCAATGAGACATTAGTCTCCCTGACTCTGACTTTCTCCTGGGGGAAATGCTGACAGCCCAGAATTAATGTGTCAATTGATTTACTCCTGGTGTCTAAAGGAGTAGACAAGACAAGTCCTCCCACTGCTGGGAGGGGAGATGGGGAGAGAGCAGCCTCTGGCCACTTTCTGGGTCCGGCTCACAGGCCTGTGCTGTCTGGACAGGTTGAGGAGACAGTTGCAGAGAGACTGATTCACCTTGGATCTACATCCTGGAGACTGGCCGGCCCTAGCTCTGGAGTCCCAAAGCCATGGACACTCTCAAGTTCTACGGCCTTGACAAGCTATAGACCCCTCCAGACCTCAGTTACTTCATCCACAAAATGAGGATGGAGATCCCTGATGGGATGACTATGGAATTAACAAGAGATAATGTGTGTGAAGAGATGTGCTTTGTAAATGTTAATTTTTTATCTTTAAGTACAAGAGTAAATGGAATGTTCTTGAGTGAGAAACCAACCAAGTTTACAGATATTAAAACTGAGGCCTAGAGAGATGAAATCCATTTTCTTTTTTTTTTTTTTTTTTTTGCGGTACGTGGGCCTCTCACCGTTGTGGCCTCTCCCGTCGCGGAGCACAGGCTCCGGACGCGCAGGCTCAGCGGCCATGGCTCACAGGCCCAGCCGCTCCGCAGCATGTGGGATCTTCCCAGACCGGGGCACGAACCCGTGTCCCCTGCATCGGCAGGCGGACCCTCAACCACTCCACCACCAGGGAAGCCCTGAAATCCATTTTCAGTCAGGTAAGTTATGAAGACTGTCCACTGCTTTCACTGCTTTTGACACTGTGATTGCGTCCCTGCCCCCACTTTCTACTGGTTCCTTGGGAGCTAGAATAATGGACAGATGAAGGGTTGGAGAGGGTCACTTTCCTGAGATTTTCAAAGGGATTCCCCGCCTAACAGAACATTTGCTGGACACTTGCTGTGTGCTAGATGCTTTCCTAGGGACCGTGGAGGGCAAAGACAACACACTCAAGTTCTGATAAGCCCTTGACCTTGAGGGTTTGGTGTTTCTCTTTTCATCCTTCTCTCTCTCACTCACTCGTTCGTGTGTCTTCTCCCTCCCAGAAGCAGCTCTGCCTGCCCCACTGAGTCCTTTCCTTACAATGTGGCCCCAGACTCGGGTCTGGGCCAGACACTCAGGTTGTTGTTGGTAATGATCATTGGTTCGAACAGCTTCTCTTACCCAAAATAAAACTTGGGTTTTGTTTTGTTTTTTTCCATGATCTCTAGCTTATTTACTGTATAGAACATAAACTCCTTGAGTGAGGAAGCTCTGCCTGATTTATTACTACTACCCACATAGAAGTTGGCAAACTAGGAGTGAGAAATCAATTTTAAAAAATGAAACTACAGATCTACAGTGAGGACACGGCACGAAACTGGCGGACATACATACTCTGAGATGCATTTCATGGCCCTTATCTCTAGAAGCACAAAGCAAAATGACCAACCTCTCGAATTCCATATTCTTATACTCAAGCAGAAGAAAGGGCAGATAGCTCTCCCCTCCCCTTGCCAGGGCGTGGAACTTTGCCCGGTAAAGTTGCTCTCTGGGGTATGGAAGGAGCTGTGCGTGCCTCACCTAAGAGCTCTCCCTCACGCAAAGAAGGAAGCCCCCTCCCTGTAGGAGACACTTGAAATGCTCTCTTGCTGCCCGGCCCCAGGTGAATACCTTTGCTTTGCTCAGGCACTTGCAGAACAGATATAGAAAGCAGACATTTCCTCTTCAGCCTCCTTTGCAACTAAAGCCAGGGATGTGATTCAGGCTGCATTGCTTAAACTTACCCACACAAGACTTCAATTCAGAGGCTCTGGGAAAATTCCACTTTGCTGGCAAGGGCAGCAGCAGGGGGGGTCTGGCTTCGGGGGCGTAGCGGGCATAGGGTTAGGTTCCTGCCACAGTAATGGCCTTGGTGCCGCAAGCTGTTGTGGGCTGCCACGAGACCAGTGGCAGGGGTGGCATGGTGGGCTTGGAGCTTTGTCACTGGAAGCTTAGACTGAGCTCTCCAGCCCTCCCAACAATTGGGTAACCGTGAGCTACCCAGTGTCATTTTAAAATTTCCTTTCCTACTCTATAAGCCAAAGTCAGCTTCTGTTGCTTGCAACTAAGAGCCCTGAATGACAGTCTAGTTCAACTTTGCCTCAGCTATCATTTCCTGAGGTCCTGGCAACAATAGTAGCTCTCACCTGTTCACTGTCTGCGGTGGCCCCAGAGACTGTGTGAGGGCCTTCACATGCATCGTCTCATGGAGTTCCCACACCACTGCTATGAGGTGGATACTATTCTTATCTTCAGGGAGAATTGAAAAAAATCTGAGATATCAAGGCATTAGAGGACTTGTCCAAGGTCTTACAAGAGGGTAATTCAGTGTTGTAACAATAGGTAAGCTCCCGAAGCTAAATTCAGATTCCAAGAGAGACGGTGGCAGCCAACAAAAAAGCTTCTCGCTCCGCTCTTCATGGCAGGATGTGCAGAACTAGATGGGTCATCTTGTCTTCACGACATTCTCTACTCTGAAGTAAGGACCAGTAACACTTCACTAAGTTCGTAGACGCTGAAATAAAGACACGAAGATATTTCACTGCCCAAGAAGGATTTTTCCGGGACAGTGGCAGACATGATTGACAAGGGAACACATTGTTACCCCACAAGCATGTTTTCTGAAACTCCCCAGGGGCTAAGGGAGTCCATGCTGGGTAGACAGTGAGGGGTAGTCAAAGAAGCTGAAAGCCTGCATTTAACTAAAAGCATCAGTGTGCAGGTCGGCACTGCAAATACATTTTAATACAGGTAATTTCTTTCCCATTCATTTTCAAGCACTTATTTCATTTACACAATCCCAAGGGCCAATAAATCTTGGCATTAAGGCTGATTTGATGTGTGATGCAGACAGTCTAATTAAGGATAGGGTATTTTATCAGCTCCTCTAAATTTCCTTTTCTCTAGTCTACAATTTTTTATACTGGGCTGATCTTTTTTTTATTCATAAGGGTCTCATTCCCATTTGTCATGGCTGCATCAACTGGGCATCTAATGAAGACTTGGATATGGAAGTCTGCATCTCATCTGTCCTCAGTAGCAAAATTAATAAAGCAGCAGGAAAACAGCTTCCTGAACTGAAATGTCCTTGGCCCACCCTGAGTCATCTAAAATATATTTTGCTTGTGTCTTCCAAAATTGGGGCTTAGCTATAAACTTTAGGAGGCAGTGCTCAATTTCACCTTCCATCCACTGATAGCCTGTACCCTACTCCCCTGCCCAACCCATTGCTTGGAGAGGCTTGGACCAGAGTGGCCAGAAGCCTATTTTCCCACTATCCCCTCTGCACACATTTATTGAGCACCTTTTATAGGCCAGGCTCAGGGAGATATAAAACAGGCTCTAGAAGGCCACAGTCAAATGCGTCATGCCACCACTGTTGGCCAATGCAAGAAAAACATCTTAGTTAGCCAAGTATCAAGGCTGGAAGCAAGCTGGAATGATTATCTGCCCTACCCTTTTGCCTCTGAGAGGGTGAGCCTCCCAACCAGTTTCTCTGTAATTAAGGGCGGCCAAACGCCTGTGATCACAGACATTGACTTGTAGACTTTATGGGTATATGAGTATATTGGTTTCCCAGGGCTGTCATAACACAGTACCACAAACTGAATGGCTTAAACAACAGAAAGTTATTGCCTCACAGTTGTGGAGTCTAGATATTCAAAATCAAGGTGTCCTTCTGAGGGCTGTGAGGGAGGGATCTGCTCCAGGCCTCTCTCTTTGGCTTGGAGATGGCTGTCTTCTCCCTCTGTCTTTTTACATTGTCTTCCCTCTATGAATGTCTGTGTCCAAATTTCTTTTTATAAGGACATCAGTCATAGCGAATTAGGACCCACCCTTATGACCTCATTTTACCTTGATTACCTCTGTAAAGACCCTGTTTCTAAATAAGGTGACATTCTGAAGTACTGGGGGCTAGGACTTCAACATATGAATTTTGGGGAGACACAATTCAACACGAGTGTCTCTAAAATTGGTTTAACTGGGCTTCCCTGGTGGCGCGGTGGTTGAGAGTCCGCCTGCCGATGCAGGGGACACGGGTTCGTGCCTCGGTCCGGGAAGATCCCACATGCCGCGGAGCGGCTGGGCCCGTGAGCCATGGCCGCTGAGCCTGCGCGTCCGGAGCCTGTGCTCCGCAACGGGAGAGGCCACAACAGTGAGAGGCCCGCGTACCGCAAAAAAATAAAAAATAAAAAAAATAAAATAAAATAAAATAAAATTGGTTTAACTAAAGCTCTAAGACAACCTGTAGCAACACGATATAGTTAGAGCACTGCATGGAGGGTTAAGAATTCCATGTTCAAGTTCTAAATTAGCCACTTCCCCTCTCTGAGCCTCAGATTTCTTCTCTAGAGAATAAGAGAGGTGGACTGGGCCTCCAGAACCCTCTCACGTCGCCGGGATTGTGTTGCTGATGACGTAAGAGAAGTTGAGGCAGCACAGGGGGCAGGTTAATGGTGAGGCTCCACCACTCACAAGCAGGCTGATCCTGAGCAAGGATGGATCTTCTGAGTCTCAGGGAGTTTTTTTAACTCTTAAATGAGGACAGCGACAATAGCTACTTCAAAAAGGTTTTCAGGACTAATGAGGCCTGTGAAATGCCCGGCAGGCAGCTGTCCCTCCATGTGTACGAACTGCTAAGGGTATTACTGCTCTTATTACTATCAGGAGTTAGGCTTTGGATCTAGCACTCAGCTCTCAGGCAGTGACCACGATCGGAAGACAGGGGTCTGCACCCCAGTGTCCTATCCAGTAGCTCATGTGGAGTGAGAGGCTTTAGCTGGCAGGACTCTTGTGAACCTTGTGACATGCCTTTCCCCATCTCCACCTTCCAAATCCCATCCCATTCCATTTGGCTTTTCACATTCATGTCATTAGGGTTAGGGCTAGGATTTCAGGTGATTTTTTTTTCTCACTGTTTTATTAACTTTACACACCCTAGAAAAGTATAATAACACATATTTCATCATCTCATTTAAATGCAGCCCTGCGACCTCACACCCACATGAACACTAGATTGCTTGAGGTCTGTAGTGGTCATTCGGCTCTTACCGTCTTTGAACTGTCAGTTATTTGCTCACGTGTGTCCTCGCCTAGACTGTAAGCAACTTGAGGAGACATATGGGTTTTCTTACTGAGATTTAGCAAACCTTATTGATCGACTCCCACAAGGCACCGGCCCTCTTACATGAAAAATCTCATATCAACCTCCCCACAACCTGATGAGGCAGGTAATGGTGTTACCATGTCACAGATGAGCCCCTGAGGCTTGGGGGTCACATGTGTAGGCAGTGGCTAAGCCAGGATCCAATTCTACATCGCCTGACTCCGAGGCCACCAATCTAGCCTAGTGCTATCCTCGGCAAGCTGTACCAGCTCAGGAGGCTCGTGGGTCCCTGTAACTCACTTAGGATCCTCCAGCCTGAGCAGAGTTTTCCATGGCCTTGGTGCCCCCTGGTGGCATGTGAGGGCTCGTTCCCAGCCCGGCTTCAGGCTCATTCCACTGCAGGCCTGCGACCCCTAAGCACTTGAAAGAGTGACCGAGGGGGCTGGCCCTGGCGCAGCAGGGCCCTCTGCACCCGGGGAAGGGCTAGTGACACTAGAGTGTCACTTTTTAAATGGACCGCCCCCGCCCCGAGGATTCTGCTCCTGATAGGTCAAAGAAGAGCGCTTAGGGTCTCAGGCCAACAGCCGTGAGATGACCTACAAGGTCTGGTTCACACCACCCAGCTTCTCATCTCCCCTTTCCCAGTCGGGACATGTGGGCATGGGCAATCTCTGCAGCACCCTCCTGGGATTTCCATTTTCCAAGAGCTTTTTTATGGAGTGGGGGAGGGAGAAGAGGATAAAGGTGGTTAAAGTTGAAGACTTAAAAGCTTCTTTACATAACACAGTCTTTTTCTCAAAAAACCCAACAAGATTCTTCAGTAAATATTACTGGAGTCCTATTGTGCTCCACAGCGCTCAGGATGCAGAAATGGAGAAAACACCCTTTCTGTCTTGAAAAGTAAACATATAAAAAATTACAATGCAATGAGGCAAGTACTCTGATATGGGTGTCCTGGGACTTCTCCTGTCACACCCAAGATGGTTATCAGTACTCAAAACTGAGAATAAAGAGTCATCAAATACCTCACAAGCTGAAGTAGAAAACAATTAGGGGTCAGACACCTTGTCCAACTAACCATCACTCCAGCCAACAGCACTTCCCCAGCTTATATAAGCCACTGCTCCTTCTGCAGGGACAAAACAGCAAGAAGACACAGAAAGAGGGGGTGGTGTGGAATAGCCTGCCTTCCCACCTCCGGAGCAACAAGGATGTTTGAGCCAGCGGTCATCCTCTTCCTACGTGCTCATTTTCCCCTTGGAGGCCTTCCTTAGCACGTAAAAAGTGATCACCAGCTTTTCCGGGAATCCTATAATCACTGATCTGGCTTTGAGATAATCACAGATATCCTAGAGCTGCATTAACCAATGGTAGCCACCCATCACACACATAGCTATTGAGCACTTGAAATGTGGCTAGTCTGAATTGAAACACGCTGTTAGTGTGAAATATACACCGGATTTTGAAAACTTAGTCCGGGGTGGGGCAGGGGAATGCAAAACATCTCTGTATTTTAAAAATTGATTACATGTTGAAATGATAATATTTTGGACATAGTATTTGGATAAATAAAATATATTATTAAAATTAATTTCACCTGTTTTACTTTTTTTAGCGTGGCTACCAGGCCATTTAAAATTACAGCTGTGGCTGGCTCACATTCAGTTGCTCTTGGACGTCGCTGCCCTGAGGGTTAGAAAGCCAGAGCTGAGATGCCCCAGTCCAGCAAAGCTTACACCACATTGGGACCACAAGGGGGCGGTACTGTGGTGCCGAGCTGCCTGGGGCAGGACTTCAGCAGCAAGCAGGCCGGCTCCTCACATTTTCTGACGCTATCTTTTAAGGGTAGTTTTAAACAGCTTTTTCTAAAATTTAAATGGCCCATATTATGTGACCCCGAGGTTAATATAAATCATTTCTCTAGGGCAGGAGTCTAAAACTCCTGAATTACAATATTCAAGACTGGAATTTTAAGGCAGCTGCAAGTTTCTCACCATCACAGCTAGGGAATGAAGAGGGACTGTGAATTCAAGTCGAGAGAAGCCTTAAAGCTGGGCCCCAGAACAGAAGGTGGACTGTGAGTAAAAGCTGGAGGTAAGAGGGTTGGAGAAAAGGTAGCTCCAGGAGTGATGTTAGGAGGACTTAAGCACAAGGAGTGGGTATTGGCTTATGGGCGATGGGTGACCTCTGGACATACTCCCATTTTCATCAAAATGCTACCAATCTGAGTGTAAATTGTTACCACCTTTCTTCGGGGCAATTTGTAAGTGTATTTTAAAAGCCTTAAAAATGTCAATATCCTTTGACCCAATAATTCCATTCTAGTAACTCATAAGGAAAATTTTAAACTGCACAAATATTTGGCTATAAGGATATTCATCCAGCATTTGCAATAGCCAAAGAACCCAAAATAACAATAAAACTATAAGCAACCTAACTGCACATTGATATGGGTTGGTTAAATCAATTAACAGTTATAATATGGACTATTTTGTAAGTGTTACAGAGGTTGTGTAAATGAATACTTACTGACATGAAAAGACATTTATGCTAAATTCTGTGAAAAGGGTCAGCTACAGAATTGTATGTCCAGTATGTGTGTCAATTTTGCTTAAAAAAGAAACAACAACATTAAAAGCATACATCTGCAAAGACAACTGGCTGAAAGAATATTCTCCAAGGGATTAATAGTCATCTCTGGACAGAGGCTATGGGTGGGCTTTCTTTCCTTATTTTTTAAAACTGCTTTTATAATTAACTTTTTAAAAGATTATTTATTTATCACAAGTGACACGTTCTTTCCCAAGCCCTCGCCAAAGGGGAAGAACCAACGTTTTCGTTAAAATCCCGACACCTTCCCCATACCTATTAGCATTGTTCCATCTCGTCCTCTAGTCCCTGTGTCCAGTCTTTTCCCCTATAAGCCTGGGGACCCTTCACCGGGGTCCTGTGTCTCTCTTGTCTCTCTCTGCCCCACCGCCTGTATGAGGCCCCGTCGGACCGCCCGGGTTGTTGTAAAACTTCAACAGGGTCTGGCCCGACTTCTTGGAGTCGGTGGAATTGTAATCCAAAGGTCTTTATGGAGGAGACAAAGGGACAGGCCAGGAGGCCGGCTCCGAGGGACGACTGCAGGCCTCCCTCTTACGGCGGCATTCCGCGCCGTCCCCTCGCCTGTTGCACAGGCAGCAGAACCTCCGCCCGGCTCGCGGTGACGGGCGCGTAAAGATGTCATCCTGGACACAACGCGGAGGCTGCGCCACGAAGTTTGTCCCTTTGGAGGCACCGTCCTTGCCCACGGCCCGCTCGCGTCATGTGAACGACCGAGGGGCACCCGAGACCAGCGGCGAAGAAGAAGGTGACTCGCGGCGGGATGGAGGCAACTTTAGAGCAGCACTTGGAGGACACGTGAGTAGTATTCTCGTCGGCCTGTCCTGGGGTCGCGGCTGGGGGATTTGAACGGGACAGAGGGCGCGAGCTGCGAGCGCCGGCCGGGCGTCTTGGGGACGCCCTGTCCCGGGGCCTCCGGTGTGGGTGCGAAATGACCCGGAATTAAATCCCGCCGGGGCTCCGCACACTCCCTCCCGGGCGGGTCTCCGCGGCCCGAGCTCAAACCCGACTCTCGTGCTGAAATTGTCCGGACAGGGTCGTTCTTCGGGAGTTTTAGGAACCGGGTTCGTTTGGGAGAAGGAAGTACCACTTGTGCAGAGCCCTGCCTTATAAACATAAACACACACAGCGTATTTCCTTCCGGGTGTAACCAGTTACTTGCTGAAAGGCATCCGTTAAATTTTTCGAATGAGTAATATCTACGGAAAATCCAAAGTTGGAAAAATAGAAGGCGTACAGGGAAACACCTCCCTCGCATCAGTGCCCCTCAGCTTCCCACTACCCCTCCAGGAGGCAGCCCGTGTTACTTAAGAGTTTTTCAACAGTTGTTTCAAGTGAGTATGTTAACATATGCAGTTTTAACGAAGGCAACAAAATCCCAACTATTGCAATGTTTGTGGCCCTCCAGAGCTCAACAGTACCTGGGCACGGTCTTTATTCTCATGAGAGAGAAACTGGTTTAACTATTTAAATCAGTTATTTGTAATTTAATTTTTCTTGGGACAGGAGTGGGCGATAGTGAAAAAAGATTAACACTGATTTCAAGTACTACAACAATGCCTGATACAGAGAAAGCATATTTGTGTTATAATTATTTAAATTCATTTTCCCACATCATTTGCTTTCTTCTTCCTGCGTTCCTGGAATTAGAATGAAGAATCCATCCATTGTTGGAGTCCTGTGCACAGATTCACAAGGACTCAATTTGGGCTGTAAGTATCTCACATCAACCCTTCGGTGGATTGCACAGCATTTGATGTTGACTGGGAGCCTAGTGTGCTATTATTCTCTAGTTTTTATTTCCTGTTACCCTACCACTTTCTGGGGACTTTTGCAAGCGTAGAGATCATCCCCAAATAACAAAATTAGGAAATTGAAACTTCTCTATAAAGGGAGAAATGTTCCTTGCAGTTCTAGCACTACAGAGTCGTTTCTACTAAAATAGTATTTTAATCATTTTAAATTGGGTCTAGAAAGGACTTCAGACAATGACAGCAGTTACCATTTATTGAATTTATGCCATATGGTGGGACTGTGAAGCTTTGTATACATTATCTCTAATTTTCACAATAACCCTGCTAGATGGGTGGTGTTACTTTTTAGTCCAACTTCACTTAAGAGTAAGTGAGTAGGTAGTAAAAATGGGGCCTGCAGGGTTGGACACACCTAGCTTCAACCCCTTGCTCTTCCATTTACTAGTGGTGTCAGCTTGGACCAAAAAGAACCTTTCTGAGCCTCAGTTTCTTTACTGAGTTGTTGCTTAATAAGAATTATTATTATGGAATTGCATTTATTGAGCTCTTACTATGTGCCAGGCACCGTTCTAAGTGCTTTGTGTATACTAAGTCATTTAATCCTCATGACAACCCTGTTAGGCAGATAAAGAAATGGAGGCACAGAGGTTCACTAACTTGCCTAAGGCCATACAGCTAGTAAGTAGTTGAGCTAGGATTTGAGTCTGGCTCAGAAGCCTCTTAATCAGAATACTATAAAATTATATATGTAAAGCACTCAGCACAGAACCCAGACATAATGCTCAATAAATGGTAACAATTACTGATGAGAAAATAAATCCAGAAAGGTAACAATGGAAGCCTTCAGCTAAGTAATGTCAGAACTGGTAAACTCAGGACACCTTGCTCCTTACTCCTCTGTACTGCAGGACTTTTTAAAGCTCTGAATTTTTGCTGGGAGGGTAATTGAAGGAAGTAGTCTGTAACTCAGGTTTTACACACAAATCAGTTTAGTTGGAAGAAAAAAGGCAGATTTTTTTTGAGGCACTTGCCAGGCTCACAAAGGAAAGGCTGAAATTCAAGTGCAGAAATGTAAAACTAAATGTACTCCTTCAAGAAAACTTCGCCCAAAAGACTGCACTGTGTGTCCAGTTAATGTTTTATGTAACAACAGTAAATGCACCAACTCTGCCATACTGGCATGTCTATTACCTGAGTTAGTTTCAGGCAGATGGGCTTGTGTTGCCTTTATATACAGAAAGATATTGTAAACTTAGTAATTACGTTTTGTACCTGACATCCAAGATTTAGTTATTATCTACAGGCTAAAACAAACATTAGTAAAAAGCCAATTCTGTTGCTATTTGAAAAACCAGTTTATTCTAGTGGAAATAATTGCTCACAGAATATTTATACATGCTGTTAAGGTGATCTTACAGCCAAACTCCTGAGTAAAGATCTTTATATCCTTTGAGGTTGATCTCAGTAGAAGGAAATCAGATTTTCCATGAGGAATTAATTAGTTTCAGCAAGTCTCTTGCCCTTACTGGTTTTTGTCAGTCTCACCTATGAATTTCTTCATTTCAGTTTGCTTTCAGATTGACTTGAATTACAGCTTCCTTATATGCTTGAGAAGGTGTTTAGAGATGGTGATGGGAATGACTTGGAAAATTGAGTGTTACGGCCTTTTACTGACTTAAAAGCTGTTATTGGCTTTCTCACTGATGTAACCACTGAGTATCAGGGCAGAATCATTTTATGTCAGTACCTAACCTAAGAGACCATGAGCTGAACCTTCTTTTTGTGAATAATTCAATTCAGTTCTACTATACGTCTATACTCATTTTTGGACAGTCAGGCAACGTGATATCATCTCTGTCTTCCAGGCCGCGGAACCCTGTCAGATGAGCATGCTGGGGTGATATCTGTTTTAGCCCAGCAAGCAGCTAAGCTAACCTCAGACCCCACTGATATTCCTGTGGTGTGTCTAGAATCAGATAATGGGTGAGTAGATGGCAGCAGATCCCTTCCTTTCCTTTTCATTCAGAAAAATCAATCCCTGGGAAACTTGACTGGGGCTTGCCCTGTGTTCATCAGTGATTTCTCAAAGTACGTGGAGGAAGGTTCCACCCTTTGGACCACAGGAGCAGATGGATTGATCTCTAAAGCTAATGTGCTTTCACACCACAAAGACATTTAAATGAAGAGTCACGAACTATCAATAAAAGAAGCAATAAATAACACAGAGGAAGACTAAACAAAGAACAGAAACAATGTCTGTAGTAATAGAAATACCAAAGACATTCCAAGTGAGGGTCCTCAGAATAATAGTAAATGAAAAAAGCAGAACTATGCACAGGGACTTCCCTGGTGGTCCAGTGGTTAAGAATCCGCCTTCCAATGCAGGGGATGCGGGTTCGATCCCTGGTCAGGAAACTAAGATCCCACATGCCGCGGAGCAACTAAGCCTGCACGCTGCAACTACTGAGCCCACGTGCCACAACCAGAGAGCCCGTGTGCCGCAATGAAGAACCTTCGTGCTGCCATGAAAGATCCCACTGTGCTGCAACTAAGACCTGACACAGCCAAAAATAAATAAAAATTTTAAATAAATAAACTATGCACATTATGATCACAGTTCTGTAAAGTGAGAAAAAATGTATATATGGTATACATGCATATTAAAAAAGGAAAATATTAATAGTGGTTGTCTTTGAGTGATAGGATTATAGAATTAATTTCATTCTTATATTTTATACTTTTCTGTATTTCCCAAATGTTTTATTGTATTTAGATATTGCTTTCATACATAGAAAAGTAAGTATTATTTTTTTAGTTGTGTCCTAAACCAAACAGCATCTTTAATCTTAACGTCGACTCCCACTTGCAACACTTTACTGAATATCTTCCACTTTGCCTTTCAGGAACATTATGATCCAGAAACACGATGGCATCACAGTGGCAGTGCACAAAATGGCCTCTTGACATCTTGTATCAGTTCTCCAGCAGCTTGTCACGGGGACTCAATCGTACCTTATGTTAATTATCTTATAGAGCTATTAGAGTTCCAGTAATTAGGCCATTCATGTAATGTGCATTAGGCACTTTTCTATTAATTTTAGAGTAAGCTGCTTTTTGACACTCTGACTTATCAAAATTGACTTATCAAAATACTAGTTAAGGGAAGTATGTTTTGAAGCAAGTGTAGGTCACTTTGTATACAGAATTTTGTTATGTTTAATAAAACTGGTTGGAGGAAAGCTTGGATCTTTTCTGAATTCTTTAAACTCTTATCAAATGTTTATTTTTTCAATTATCAAATTGTAATTTTTCTTAAAAAGGTAACTGCTCCAAACCATTCTGTTTCGGAAGCTCCTGAAATACATAGATTCTCACAGAAACATCCATGGATATATAAGACAAGTCAAGCATACTCCTACCCCATAATAAAAACATAATAGTAGATATCATAAGTACTTACTATATGCCAGGAACACATTCAGTTCTCGTTAACAACCCTATATGGGTTCTCAATAGCAAAGAGGTGGAAGCAACTCAAATGTCTGTTGATGGGTGAATGAATAAACAAAATGTATATACATACCATGGAATATTATTCAGTGTTAAAAAAGGAAAGAGATTTTGACACGTGCTATATAGCATGGAGGACTCTATGCTAAGTAAAATAAGCCAGTCACAAAAAGACAAATCCTGTATGATTCCACCTATATGAGGTACCTAGAGCAGTCAAATTCATAGAGATAGTAGAATGGTGGTTGCTAGGGTGAGGGGAAAAAATGGGGAGCTACTGTTTAGTGGGTACAGAGTTTCAGTTTTACAAGATGAAAAGAGTTCTAGAGATGGATGGTGGTGATGGTGGCAACAATAATATCAATGTATTTAATACCTCTAAACTGTACACTTAAAAATGGTTAAGATAAAAAAATGGTTAAGATTGTAAATTTTGTTTTATGTATTTTACCACAATAAAACAGTTTTAATTAAAAAACATGAACTAATAAAAACACCACCTGAACTAATAAAAAATTCAGCAGAATTACAAGATGAAGATCAACTTACAAAAAGTGAAAAAGCTTCTTCTATACCTCAAAATAGAAAATAAGAAAACATTTGCAATAGCGACAAAAACAATAATGCATTTAGGAATTAATAAAGGATGAAAAAAACCTGTATGGAGAAAAAGTTTAAACTCTTAAGCATTAAAAATTGAGCAGAACTAAATAAATACAGAATATTGAATACAATGTAACAAAAGGATATCAAATCTGCAAAGAATTTTTCCTGAATTCAGTGTGTTGTAATAAAGATGGCAGTAGGAATTTTTTTTTGTAAACTTGACAAACTTTTCTAATATTACAGGGAAGCATAAAAGTTTCATAAATAGTTGTCAAAAAAAACCCTATATGGTAGGTACTCTAATTTGACCCATTTTGCATTTGTGTAACTAAGGCTAAGGAATTAGCAGAGTCACCATTTGGACCCAAGCCTCCAAGTCAGAGCCTTACTTTTAACAGCCAGACTACTACAGAAGTAGGTATGTTTGGCCAGAAGAAAATCTACCAGTTTGAAAGTATAGGACATTATCTTCTCTTCAGGCTTTATCATTCTCAACAGAATGGTGCATAAGAAGATACAAAAGACTTCATTTTGTTGAATTTGAATGCAGCTCATATTGCTGTCTAGCAATTTAATATTTGACAGTATACAAAGAATATATATCATTTATTCAAAAATATCAAGCAACTACAAATATATAAAGTGCTAGTTTAAGCACAGTGATCTCTTATAATTTAAGGAATGGTGGGAACCCTCCCCAAATCTTAACTCATTTCTTCACAAAGAGTGAGGACAGGGAAAATAAAATCTTGGTAGTGCTTGTATTATACTCTAAGTCCCTAAGTGCCAAAAAGTTTCATGGACTGTATTTATCAGTGGGGTGAGGGTAATAGTGGTGACAGGAAAATCACGCTGCATCCTTGCTGAATAACTTTAGGGCCAAGAGTTAGAAAGTCAGAGGTTGAGGGAATTATTTTAGTTAAAAATCGTGTAAGCTTTATTAAGTCGATTGGGTACAGATGTCAAAATTTAACTAATATCCCAATGGTGGCTTAAGAACTCTTTGCTCTTGATATAAAGCCCCACATGATTAATAAGAACCATTTTTAATAAACTAAGTACCAATAGCAGGTCTGTTAATGTGCAGTTACTGTATATACATAGTCCTCACAACAAACTTGTAAATAATATTAGCCACATTTTACAGGTTTGGAAACAGATTCAGAGAGGGTAACTTGCCCAGAGCGTGCAGGCTTAAATAATGGCAAAGTTGAGATTCTAACAAAGTCTGCATTTCCCACTATACCTCAAAGCTTTCTGTATGAAAGACATGTTTCAAGGGGTTCATCTCTGACAGCCTCTTTCTTTGCAGCTTTCCTAGCCTCTGGGAATGACTCATTGTTCTGCCACATTTCAAATCTGACCCAGCCCTCAGCATCAGACTCTCTAGCAATACAAAGCTAGCCTCATGTCATCCTGTGATCAGAATCATAGATAGCCCTGCTTTAAAAGAGCAACAAGTACCTACCAAAAACAGTCTTACAGATGTTTACTAAAAAATGTTTTCTAGATTACGTTAGTAACTACATATAACTCTCTGAAAAACACTCACCTTCCCTCTTTTGGGTTTTGTCTTCTGCTGAAGGTTTGTTTGATCCTTACCACCAGACCCACATAATTGCATAATCTTTTCCATTGTTAACTTAGAGGCCATCTTCCCAAACCACTAAGCTGTGCTTCTGCTAGCGCTTGAATCAAAAATATTATAGAGTTGGTTTTAAGAGCCTGAGAAGCCCCTTACCTTTTAAGGAACATGCATAATAAATATGTGCAGATTTTCCAGATAAAACCAGAAAAACACACATCAGCCTAAAATACACTCTGGTTTAAAACCTGGAACGTTGGTGCTGGGAAGATGAAAGGCAATTTCCTGTTGACTTTTTTTCTTTTTTCTTTTTTGATGTGGAGGGTGGAGCAGAGGAAGGAAATGGGATAAGAAAACTGAATTGTCCCAGTAATGTTCTAGGAGACTCAGCCTTAACCATTTCCAAAATGCAATAGAAAAAAAAGTTTCATTAAAATTAAATATAAGTATACACCTTTCACGGGAGGTGTTTGGAGTTAAGGTAACATGTATAGAAAAGTAATTAAAAGAGGGCTTGGAACTCCAAAGTACTAACCAGAATCTTCAGTCATTACACAGAAGGTACACAAATATGCTGCAGATTGCCATTTATGGCCCAGGAAACGTACTGCCCAACTCTGGGGCCCCACTCCCTGCCTTGAGCATAATGTTAAAAGATAAACTGAGGCATATTAAAAATGATAAGAGCTTATCTGAGCAAAAATCGATGTGAAGCTGGTGCTGACAAACCAGAGGAGGTTAGGAGCGCTCTTCCATTCAGGAGCTCAAGGAGAAGCTTTTGCAGAGAAAATGCAGAAGCAAAGCAAGGAAATTATTGATTGGCTACAGCTTAAAGCCTAGTTGGCTGTATGTGACTGGTTGTCCTTAGGTTTTCATTTCATAACCTTGAGGCATTTACAAGCTTAGGTTTTGGTCTGCTTATGTAGGCCACACAGCACTAGAGCCACCTTAGTCTAATGGCCTCCTGTTGCCTTAGCCAAGTGGCTTGTTAATTTCTTGCATTTGCTACACTACCAGAGGTGTTGATCCAGCTACAGCAAGAGGTATTTGCTATGGCACAGACTCTTCCTTGTTTAGCCAACAAGTAATCTAAAGCAATTCTACTATCTCAAATTATTTTACCAAGAAAACCTAGGGACTTCTGTTTTGTAGGTATGGCCTTAGCAAGATTCAGCGATAGTTGCCAGAGAAGCATTGTCTTGCCGTGCATTAACAGAGAGAAAAAAGCAAGTAGTGAAAAGGCAAAAGGAATAAAGGTTTCAAATAGGAAATAAAGATCTTGATCCGTGACCTCGGGAGAGCTGTCCATCTCAAGATGCTATCTGCTTCTGGAGAGGAACCTCCATAAGCCAATTTTAATTTTAGGTCTCCAGTTGTACAGTTCCAAGAGTCTGGAGGAGCCCTTTTTAACTGGGAGATATGGACCCAAGGTTTAAGGCCCTGAAGTTTGACTGCTGACTTGGTACGGTCCCTTCTAAGGAGGTTCAAGGATAGTCTTTGCTCTTAGTGATTTCAAAGCAGAAGGGTAGGAGAAAACTGGAAATCTTAGTTTGGAGAGTAGCCAGATATTTGAGAAAACTAGAACAATTCAGGATCCAGTCCGGTTTACAGGTATATAACAAAAGCTCAAAGACAGTGAATAGGACTAGAATCTGATATCCACAAGATCGTATTATAATTTTCTACTGCAACATAATTTTTTTTATAATCACCCCCATTTCTATCAAAGATAATCACAGTAAGACTAATTTGTTTGCAGAATAAGTCTAGTCTCATGAAGCTTAGGCTGGTTATTTACAGAGGTGCAGTAGGAAGAGTAATTGACCATATAGGCTCTTTTTAAATCTGTTTTGCTAGGACTTTTCATAAGGAATCTTAGATTGAACTTTTAAAGGCTCTCCAGATTAAGAAGTCAAGTCAAGGATTTGTCATTTCAGACTTCATCTGGAATACCTATAGATTTGGGTGAATTCCTCTCTTCTCAAGGTCCCTAAGATATCCTGAGGTTCTCAGGCCTGCCAGGAAGTGACCTTCCTTACTCACCTGGTAAGGTTTCTTGGAACCCTATAAACAAGATGCCAGGCCAGTTTTTCTTAGGAGCTTTATTGCCTCCATAAAGTCAGCCTTAGTTCCTTAAAACTGTCTGGTCATATCTGATTTTATGCATATTCTCAAATATGACATTCTAGTCAAAGCCTTGGTAATATAACCAAGGCTTCCAACTGTGTCCTGTTATAAGAACATATTCTTATTTGGCTTATGTAAATCACTATATTGCCATGAAAATAAGACTACACAACAAATTTCCAAATTCTGGAGGGATCAGGTAGGGAAAAAAACGTTTCACTTTTGTTTACAAAGGTATAATTTACCAAACTGCCTTAAGTCATAAACAGCTTAAGAGAGAAAGGTTTCCTTAAATTTGGAAAACAAAACATTAAGGAATCAGCAGTGTTTCAAAGAAAAAGTTGTAAAAAACATTATAATCATCCTCATCAGTTCATTTAATCATATGTTATTAATTCTTGTTCAGGATGAATCCAGTTTTTTCATTAGCTCTGAAAATTCTTACCCAGTTCACTTTTATGCTCTTAAACTTATCAGAAACCTGTATTCTAGATCTTTCCATGAAACTCTAAAGACAAAGAAGCATTTCTGTGAAAGCATCAGAGTAAAACAATAACTCTCTGCAAATGACAAAAAGACTTTTAATAAAGTCCTTCCATACCTTTTCTTACCCCCAGACACATTCTACTTTCCTTCCTACTTTTCACACAGTTGTTTCCTTTCACCCCTGTATTTTAGTAGTTTTAAATTACATATAACGATTAGAATTCGTAACCCTTAGAATCCTTACTTCCTAGTGAAAACTAAGCAAGCAACTGTGGACTGTTACACTAGCATTCTGTGGATTGGCACATTTATAAATACATTTCATAATTTCCAGAAGTATATTCTCCCTCACAGTAAATTTTTCGATATGGCATAAAACACGTTTACCAATAAACCCAAATATCTTTAGTTCCTCTGTAATAAGAAGCCAAAGTAGATAAAATGCCAAAAGTAGATAAATTTGTGTTCAGTAATTAATGTTTCAGTATTTTATCTTACTTGGAAATGATCTAGTCAATGAATATCCACAATTTAACTCAGTAGAACTTTCACCTAGTTTCCAAATCGCCCCCCACATACTTTTGTTTTTGTCCTTCTAATAAGAATCACCTCCCTGAAGTCCACATTTCAAAGAAATGGCTCTAAATACTTGAGATGCAGAACGCTTACATCTCAAAGCTCAAAGGCACAGAAAAAGGATGTAAGTTCCACCAAGAAGGACTCTTATTCCCTAAATCCAGATGTTTTATAATATCTGTAAGCCTTCTGAGCTGAATAGGGGAGGTTTTGAGATTGGTAAAAAGGATAGACTTTTCATTGTTTCTAGAGCTGCATTTCTGTTCTTGTCAAAACTCAATTTGTAAGACAAGTAGTTGTTCTTTATTCCTCAAAGAACTGGGTTGCCACCTGAGGCCCAGTGAACCCACCCATCCAACTATATTATGTTCAATTTGCTTCTTTATGTCAGGGAGATTTCCAACTAAGATGAAAATTAAAAGATTCCTATGTTCCAGATTTGGAGCTGTGCATCTTTTGAATGTTTTAGTAAATTCTTCCACAGTGGCCTCAGAATGTTTTTCTTTCCTTCTGGGTACATAATTTCATTTCGGCTTGGTGGAGAAGCCCTTAAAAACAGTTCCTATCAGGCTCTGAATATCAGCTTCCAAAATAACCAACTTTTTTTTTTTTTTTTTTTTGCATTTTGGCCGCGCTACGCAGCAAGCAGGATGGCATGTGGGATGGTTCCCCGACCAGGGATCGAGCCCCGGCCTCCACAGTGAAAGCACCAAATCCTAACCACTAGGCCATCAAGGAACTCCCCAGAGTGGCCAACTTCTAACCACAAAGATCACTAAAAAAATCCTTTTAAATATTTTATTAACACGTTTTAGGTGGGACAAACAGTAACTATTCCTGGCAATACTAAACAAACTTTTCTTTTACTTTTAAACAAAAGGTATCCCTATCAAATGACTCAAAAACAAAACCATGGTTTAACCATGGATGCAAGAGGCATCCCCAAAGAAAGTACAAAAGATACTACTCCCCCAGCCCCAAGATCCAGAGCCACTCCCAAAGATAAAGAAAGAAAGACTTAGGGCTTCCCTGGTGGCGCAGTGGTTGAGAGTCCGCCTGCCGATGCAGGGGACACGGGTTCGTGCCCTGGTCCGGGAAGATCCCACATGCCACAGAGCAGCTAGGCCTGTGAGACATGGCCGCTGGGCCTGAGCATCCGGAGCCTGTGCTCTGCAACGGGAGAGGCCACAACAGTGAGAGGCCCGTGTACCGCAAAAAAAAAAAAAAAAAAAAAGAAAGAAAGAAAGAAAGACAATTCACCTGGTAGCTGATAACCCGCATTTCTGTCCAGCCACATTTTGGGGGTCCCCAATGTGACAGTTGAGCTGCCTGCACACATAAGAACTGCCAACCTGTGTGCCCTGATGGGCAGAAAGCCAAGCCAAGTTCTCAGGACATAACAAGATAAATGAGAAAGCTATAGCTGTCCCTGGGAGTAAAAAGACCAAGAACAAGTGGGGACTTAAATGAAAGTTCACAAACCACCATTCAAAGATCTAATTCTTTTTTTTTTTTTAATAAATTTTATGTATTTATTTTTGGCTTCATTGGGTCTTCATTGCTGCATGCAGGCTTTCTCTAGTTGCGGTGAGTGGGGACTACTCTTCATTGCGGTGCGCGGGCTTCTCATTGTGGTGGCTTCTCTTGTTGTGGAGCACGGGTTCTAGGCACATAGGCTCAGTAGCTGTGGCTCGAGGGCTCTAGAGCACAGGCTCAGTAGTTGTGGCACACGGGCTTGGTTGCATCGCGGTATGTGGGATCTTCCTGGACCAGGGATCGAACCCATGTCCCCTGCATTGGCAGGCGGATTCTTAACCACTATGCCACCAGGGAAGCCCCCAAAGATCTAATTCTTACAAACATTTTTCTCCTGCCAATCTGAATCTAGAATGGAAGGAACACTGTGAAATTGTACCTTCCTCTCTCAACCAGGCACCACAGGTGGAGGTCCAGAAGAACTGACTCTGGTAAGAATTCTCACCCTTTATGGGCTTCTGCCAGCTTTCCCGGGATCCCATCAGCAGGCTCTAAAGCAAGTGGAGTGTCCCAGCAGGTGTCATCCTGGTCACCAGAAACTGTAGAGGAGGAAGAATAATTTTCCCTCTACCCTTATTGTAAGGGTTGGCTGGGATCCCTTTTTCTCTAGGGCACCTCATTAAGTGGATAAACTGTGGCTACTGTAGTACAAGATTATCTTTGGTAAGAATAGCCTACTTGTTCACCCTTAAAACAAAATTTCATTCACCTGAGACCTCACACAGGACCAGCCCAGTTTAAGTCCAACCCAGTCTGACCCCGGACCCAGGCTGACTCCAACCAGTTTCTGGACACAGTTTGGAAGAAGAAAGGCTCAACTAAAGTCTGACAGTTCATACTGCAAAAGCTTGTGGAGCTGGGGTGGGAGAGGGACTTACCCACACCTCCAGAGGCAGCTAGAAACCAGCAAGCCAATGGGCTCAGCAGATACCTATCTGTGGCTGCTCGGGGTCTCCTTCCTTTGTTCCCTCTTCTGACACCAGAACTGTTAAAAGACAAACTGAGGCATATTAAAAATTTTAAGAGTTTATTTGAACAAAAATGGATTCAAACCAGGCAGTGTCAAACTGGAAGATGTTAGGAGCGCTCCACCAACGGGAGCTCAGGGAGAGGCTTTTATAGAGAGGGCAGAAGCGAAGCAAGGAAGTCATTAATGGGCCACAGCTTAATTCCTGACTGGCTGTTTGTGACTGGTCATCCTTAGGTTCCATTTCGTAACCTGTTTTGATTTTGGTTTGCTAACATAGGCCAACTTGGCATTAGAGCCACCTTAGTGTGAGGGCCTCCAGGTTTAATCAACAACAGTTACCCAAAGGATTTTCTACTTGGTTTACTCTGATGCTTGCTTTTGGGTGGAGGGAGGGCCTAGGATGATGTCAAATTACAGTCTTTCCTCCTCCCCTCAGGAAGTAAAGTCCACTGGCAGGAGTGCCTAAATTGGCTCTAACCCTGGGCTCTCATAATGCTTGCTTGTTTTCACAGGGCAGAAGAATGAAACGCCTTAGAAAAAGAGCAACATTCTGGAAAATTGTATAGTTTCTTTTTCTTCCCAGATTGTCTCAAGTCTGTGGAGGATTCCCTTGCTACACACCACATCAAAGGTAGGATGAAAATGGGACTGTGTGTTGGGGTTGGTCCTCTATAGTGTTTTGAACAACTGGCATCTCTCCCTGCGCGGCCTGCTCACCAGACAGACGGCCGTACCACACGCCGTGCTGGCAGATTCTCCTTCCCAGGAAGAAAGAGCCTGCCTGCCTACCTGCCGGTGGCAAATAAAGAATGCCGCCCTCTCTCTCAGAATATCTACATTTTCTCTTTGCTTTTTCTCTCTATATATATTTATTTTACTGAACCACTTGTGAGAAGGCAGCAGACTCTATGACACTTCACTCCTGAGCTTCTTAGCACACGCCTCCTAAGAACAAGCACATTCTTCGGCAGAACCACGAGACCACCGTCACCCCTAAGAGATCTAACCTGGTCTGCTATACAGTCCTCATTCCAATTTCCCCAACGCAGCTCCTAAAGTCCTTTCCAACTTTTTTCTGGCCTGGGATCCATTCGAGGAACAGTCATTGCATGTTGTTGTCATGTCTATTTAGTCCATTAGAACATTTTCATTTTAGCAAGTGCTGTGAAAGGGAATTTCCAAGCCTGAAGTTCCCCATCCCTTTTTTATTTCTCTAAAGTCAAGAGCTTACCCAGAGGACGGTGCACAGCTTGCCCTAGGATTTGGTTTGCAGACCTGGGGGGAGAATAGTGCAAGGAATGGCCACTCCACAATCAGTGAGGTCAGGCTTTGCGATCAACTCCTTTGCTATTCCTGCCTGAAGTGAACTGAGTGGTCATCTTTCAGAGGCCATTCAAGAGAGATTTATGGAAGAGAGATTTATGTGGTGGCTTTGATGTCCCTCACATCACAGCCTTTTGTTATCTTTTTCTCATTTCTCCCATGGTTCTGCCTGGATCATGATTATGGAATAAACGAGGATAAGGGGACAGTCTAGTCGGGCAGACTTTATATGTAACTAAGGACATACTCCAAGAGAACTGTCAGCTCCCTGTGGACTTCCAGGGGAAGCCAGGCAGCAGACCTCCACAAAAATCCGCCAAATGGTACAAAGCCCTGCTTGTATTTTTGAGGTTGAGATCAGAGAGTCTATAAACTCCAGAGAGTCTGTAAACTTTAGAAATGAGGAGAAATCATCTAGTTTCAGAGGTGGGCTGAAAAAAAATTACAGTACAAGTGGTTTTATACCACAGAGGAAATAAAAGTTAAGATCATTTTGTCAACTGAGTCAACTCTGTCTTGGATTCGTCACAGGGATCTTCTGCATTTAAAACAAACGAAGCGTCATGCTGAAGAGGGAGGGGAAGGTCCGACCCTACACGAAAACCCTGGATGGAGGTTGGGGATGGATGGTTGTGTTTCATTTCTTCCTGGTAAGAATTTACTTTCCCCTTTGCTACTGCCTGAAAGAAGGCTCCCTGAGAAAGGCTCAGAGCAGACTAAGATCACTTATGAAATCCTTGACATTTGAATGGAAAGGGGGTTAGAGCAAGGCCAGGAACTGCCAATGAACCCAAGAGAAAGTTGAAAATGTCCTCCTTGAGTGAAAGCAGAAGCATTCCATCCTGTCTCCTACCCCTCCTTAAACCTACAGAGTGCTCTGCTCCAGTTACCATCAGCAGCTCTGCCCTCGCTGCATGGCAATTAGGATTTGGGGACAATCGTACATTTAACCATCCCAGAAGTAGCACTGGAAACCGCTAAAAAGTGCTTTTGCAGGGGTGGGTGGGGAGGGAGTTCCCCAGCTCAGCCCAGCATAGACGTAACCCTGCTGGAAGCAACCTCCGTCTCTCCTAGGGGGCAGGGACTTTTCTTCTGTTCTGCCTGCTGTCCACTTCCCAGCCCATCCCCGCCAACCATAACTTATGCTAGAGTTAGGCCCAATGTATATTTCTGACATGTCTGGAAAGGGAGAGAATGATGTGGATTCTGAAACTGGAGCCTGATTTTTCTCCTTCATCCATAAGCAGCTGGACTCCGCACTCTGTTTTTTAATTAACTTCTTTCCTTCATCCTCCCAGAAGCTCTTGGGGTCGTTATGTGAGACAGTGGTGATGTGACTCAGCATGCTCATTCTGATGGGATTGGTGAATCCCATCACAGCTATATCCCAAACCACCCTGAGAATGGCACCAGCTCCCCAATTCCTCTTAAGTGTTCCCAAGTAAGTTAACTTTGAGATGTATTCACAAAGACACCCTTCCCTCCTGATCCTCCTCCCCAGCCCAGCCCTACAGTAAGAAGCTCCCAGGGAAGGGAGTGCAGGTCCTGGTGACTACTAACTACCCTGAAGCCCACAACGTAGAAATACCACACCTCCTCCCTTATGACAGAGAAGGGGAAAGGAGGGGAAGAAGTCCTCAGCCAGGATATACATAATACAAAACTCCGAACCACAGGACTATTTGTTAAACATTAGCTTCATTACCAAAGAATGTGGAATCTCTTTTTCTTCCCTCCCAGAAGTGTTACTAAAGAGGAAACTAAGGACACCCTAAGTCTGAGAGCCTTCCTGTGACTGGGGCCACCTCCCCACATCACAGGCTTTGCAGAACTGGCATTGTTGGTGAGGATCTCTAATTCTCCCACCTTTCTCCCCAATAACCACCCTTCCTTTTCCTGTATTATCCTCTGAGGATAGGAAGTTATTTGATCAATTTAGTTGCTGGTAAGAAAAGTTGTCTAACAACCAGATTAATAAACAATGTCCCACTTTTTTGGGTGTGATGCTACTTATAAAAGCACACACACAAAAAAAACATTTTGGGTCCTCAAAATGTTAACAGTTAACTCAGACCAATCACCCACAGTGGTAATGTGGGTACTTAAGATGATGATGCTTTTGTGTCTGCATAAATTACAAGTCTACTTTTCTATAATAGATGAGCTCCTGAAAAGATGAGTGAAAAACTCAATAACATGTTCTTCAAGAGCTCCCTACTTTAAAAAAAAAAATGACTCATATTCTAACTTACCATACTTTATAACTACATACTTGCATGATTGTTTTCTGTATTCAGCCTGTGTCCCAGGACTGAATGTTCCATGAGCACAGGGGCCAAGTCTGTTTGCTCACCACTGTAAGCCCTAGTAAATAGCCTGGAACACAGTAGGCACTCAATATATACCTGTTGACAGATGGGAGGATGGATGGATGGATGGATGATGGGGTAAGCCCATGTACAGTGTCTGATGTGGACTCTGGAACAGGACTGAAACCCATCAACCTTGGTCCAAAACATGAGATGAAATAGTATAATATAGATTTATCTAGTCTGCTTAGTTAACTAAGGGAATATCTGGACCTTGGGGAAAAGATTTTTAATAGCTCTGAGTCAAAACAGAAACAAAGTTGGAAGGTTACAAGTTAAGGGAGGGAGGCAGGGTGGCTACAAAGGCTATGTCCTTGGCCTTCATGATATACACAGTGGAAGGCACAGACCCAGTTATTAGAGACAAGTCATATCCACTTACAGCTGCTATGCCCAGACACCAAGGAAAGACCAGAGAGGAAAGGTGCTAAATTGGGGGGACCAGTAGCTAGCCAAACTCAGATGGCTAAGAACATAGAGGCCAGCATCGTGTAGATGCCAGCACAGAACCCATGTCCACAGAAAAAGAGGAAGGGTAATTTTATAGAATGACGCCTCATTGTCACATTCCCTGCTCATGAGAGGAGGCAATCACCACCCTGTATTTTAAACTGAAAGAAACAAGTCTGGGTCATTTAAGGTTCATGTATATTCTCTAGCCTCATTTCCTGATAGAGGTGCCTTTAAGGCACGTTATGATTACAAAGTGCTTGATAAAATGCTTTTTTCATTTTTGCATATATAGCCCTGGTGTCCATAGCATTGTTCACTCTAAATAAGGAAAGTCTTGTAGCTTCTATCAAATCAGAATGGGAAAAAGCACATTAAGAGACTTCCTCCTCACCACCCCATCTTTTGCAACCTTGGAGCACCACCACTGACTCCTAGTCCCTTACTCCAGACAAGAAATAATACTAGTCTGAAGTAAGAGTCTAGCGGAGAGGATGGAGGGGAAGGCCTTGGTTATTTTATTCAGTAGGTAGAGGCTGAGGGAAGGAGGTTCCTAAGTGGAGGCAGGTCTCTGATTTGGGTGAGTGGGTGGATGGTACCAATCAAGAGAAATGAAAAGGAAGAGTAGGCATGGGATAAGAGAAAGATGAGTTTAGTTTTGGATAAGTTAACCTGAGTTAGAAAGATATGGTAGACATTAATATGAGTCTCGAGCTCTTGGGAGAGCAGAATGGTTACACAAGATAACAAAAACATAGTTAATAGTTTGAGTATTAAGTGCTAAGTATTACTTTACCAGAATTTTCTCAGTCTTCACAGTCCTATGAGCTAGGTGACATTTACTTTTCCTCTACTTTATAAAAGAGGAAGCTTAACTTCCGTAGTTTGCCCAAGGTCACACCCCTAATAGGAAGCAGAGCCAGGATTCTGGCCGAGGCAGGCTGACTGCAGATGGAACACAGTATTCACAACTACACCATGAGTTCAAGGGTGGTAATTAAAACCTTGAGACTGAATGGTTGTCTATGGGGCAGGTATAAAGTGAGATGACTGCAGAACCACAGGGGGAAATATTTACCAGGTGAACAGAGAAAGAATCAGTGAAAAGGAACCCAGGATCTGTGGTCCTTCCACAATGCCTAGCCAGCTTGACAGCAGAGAAAGTGGCCTTGAAACACCAAGGCCACTGAAAAAAAGGAAAGGAAAGGGGCCACTAAGAAGCCCCTGGAGACAAGAGTGAGTACAAGTGGCTCCTGGGCTTTGACTGACTGCAGAGCCTGGCTAGGCCTCCCTTCTAGTTCCCCTCAGAACCTTGCTCCTCACTGCCCCACTTCTAATCAGAATTCCAAGAAACAAACAGCTGGTACTCCACTGAAAGAAAACCTGACCTCAAAAGAGGAGCTCCCCCTAGTGGAAGGAAGGAGGGTGGTGCGGGCAAAAGGGTTAGATGGGACAGAAAAAAAGGGTGGGGCACATGACCCAACTGTAAGGTGACCATACATCCTCATTACCCTTGCTGTCCAGGCATCAATTAATAGCACTACTTTTCACTCTCAAAGAGCTTCAACTGGGTGATAAATTATTATGGTTGCCGTATTTATATACCAGGTGAGGGAGGGTACTCAGCTCAAAAGCAGAGTTAAAGCAAAGCTAACCTAAGGACTGACAGAACAATTCTTTTGGATCAACACACATCTCTCACAAAGGTAACTGGAATTAGCTGTTTTTAACAGATGCTACTGTAACAGGATGGTATAGTGGTTGGTCTGGAGTCAGTCTATCTGGGTTCAAGTCTTAGCTCCAGCATCCCCATCTTGAGCAACTTTTAAGCTAAATCTCAATTTCCTGAATTTCTAATACAATATTGACACACCTATTCCATGCCTTTGTAATGAGAATTAAATGAGATGCTTTCATGTAAAGTGATTAGACACTCTAAGTGGACAACCCGCCCCTAAAATTTAAAATGTTACAAAGAGGAACTGGCAAACAAACTGGTAAAATACAGGTGACACAGAGAATCAGAGCCTCCAGCAGTTCCAACCTCCCCTGTAATGGCTTACTCACCACCCGACTTGGACTCTTTGGTCTGCTTTGATTTAGGTAAATGTATTCGTGATGGGGATGACCAAGACTTTTGCAATTTTCTTTGTGGTTTTTCAAGAAGAGTTTGAAGGCACCTCAGAGCAAACTGGTTGGATTGGATCCATCATGTCATCGCTTCGTTTTTCTGCAGGTATAAAGCCATCAATAAGCTTGCTGTCCAAGGAAAAGGACCACCAAAGGGCAATCCCAAGAAGACTCACCTGTCAGTCAATCAAGACTGAAGCTTTGCTAAAACTCAGGTTCATTTATCAACATGTAAAGCTAAGAAAAGGACTTGCAGTGTTTAGCCTCTGCTTGACTTGGAAAAACTAGAAAAATTAGTGCTTAAACAAAGAAAGGTGAAGAATCCAACTACTTAATTCCATGATTCAATTTTCATGCCTTGTTTCTTTCAACAGTGTCTTAATAGAGGTCCAGTGAGCCAGCCTCTCAACTGGAATGTCGACCATAAAGCTCTAAAAGACAGAACCAATTCCTCTTCCTTTAGTTCTAGTTGGAGCTAGAACATGGTGTAGATAAATAATTGAACTTAGTCATAGGTCGCTAGAGGCAACCGTTTTTTGCAGAGGTTTCACAATGCATTTTCAGCAAGCTTCCTTTCCAAACCTGCTTATTTACAATCTTTTCTTTAAAACAAACAAAAAACAACAAAACTTCTTCCTAAAAGCAAAATAGTGTGGGGCTGGGAATATTAAGAAACTCAATACAGACACCTTTTTGAAGGATACACAAATGTAGAGTCCTCTTATTTCCCTTCAGTTGCCCATTTAAATTGCACACCAGAAGATAAGGGATGCCAGAGCACATTTAACTAGCATTTGTTTCTTTTCCCAAGGTCCCCTAGTTGCTGTTATTTGTGACATAATTGGAGAGAAAACTGCCTCCATTCTTGGGGCTTTCCTTGTTACTGGTGGATATCTGATCAGCAGCTGGGCTACAAGCATTCCCTTTCTTTGTGTGACTATGGGATTTTTACCTGGTGAGTCCATTGTAAAAGTTAAGACTTAAAAAAAAAAATGGAACCAGGAACCTTCCCTTTTACTCTCCATGAGTTCAAAAGGCCTACTTATATTATCTCAGGTCCAGGAGAATATCTTGTCCAGTACCAAGCCACTTAATGTGAAAGTGATTCCAAGCTATTATGTTTTTCTTTTAGGTTTGGGTTCTGCTTTCCTGTACCAAGTCGCTGCTGTGGTCACTACCAAATACTTCAAAAAACGATTAGCTCTTTCTACAGCTATTGCCCGTTCAGGGATGGGACTGACATTTCTGTTGGCGCCTTTTACAAAAGTCCTGATAGATCTATATGACTGGACAGGTGAGTCATTCTAAGTTTCTGAACCATCAACTCTGTAAGATTTAATGTTCAGCCCTCTCTATGATGACTACAGAGGAAGTGAGCATGATTCTAAAGTAAAGTATTCTTCCTTGGAGAATATATGGCAAAAGAGACTCTGAACTACTTGCAGGCTTTGCCCGTCATGCAGGCAACTCAGAGTTCACCATAGAGTTCAAGTCTGAGGGGATGGAGGGCAACCTATGCGGCTGGGGAAACACACCTTTGCAGGGAAAGCGGTACTCCTGCGGAAACAAGGATCCTCTACTAAAAGCATTCTCTTCAAATTTTCTCTTTAAGAAAAAAATCTGCATTTAAAAAAGTCTCCTCCATCAGATTCACTAAAATAGACGGAAAAAAATTGAGTGAAAAGAGGATTATGTTCCTTAATACTTAATCTTTTATATACTGTCAACTATAAATTTTCACAAATGAATAAAAACCATTCACTCCACAATTTTCTTCATACCTGAGATAAAACATTTGGATTAAAATAACCTCAAAGTATTGGGGAAAAAAATCTATGTATATGTACATATATGTGAATATATAAGCCTATTCCTATCCACAGAGCAGTTTTGTTGAACTTTTCCTTTCCTGATTAAAAAAACCACCAGTAGTCTCATGGTGAACAAGACCAGCTGACAAATCCATAAGACAGGATAGCAGAACCTACAGCTAATTCTATCTCTAGAAGCAACACACCCAGGTCACAGCTTTGGTCAGGACATGCTGAAGTCAAGCAACTACTCAGCTTCAAAGGCAACACTGGCATGTCTTCTTTCGAGGACATTTAAAACATCACGGGATGACAGGCTATCTCCTCTTCTAAGGCAGTTTCCAAATGATTCCCGTTACCTAATTCTGTATTTTCTGTACCTAAATCTACACCCTCCCTTCAGGATATTTAAAACACACTGTAATTTTCTAACATTTGAAATGACTTCCCCCCCACCCCAAACCATTTTCTTTCCTTTAGCACAAATAACTCTCCTTCCATGCCCCCTAGTGGCACAGCTTTCCCCTTTTCTATCTGCAAGGACTCCCTGTTTTCACAAGGATACAGCAGTATGTACGGCTAACAGTTAAGTCAATGGATTTAAATGCTTTCAGCTAAATACAAGGACAAAGCAGTGTTTTCAGGAATTACTGCACTATGACTGAATATTTAGTGGTGGGGCCTCTTCTGAGCCTAAGCATACAGAGTATTGTGAAATGAGAGAGGTAATTTTTAGCTTAACTTCTCAATTTCTCTCTCCTGTTTAGGTGCCCTTATATTATTTGGAGCAATCACATTGCATTTGGTGCCTTCTAGTATGCTCTTGAGACCCACCCATATCAAAAGCGAGAGCAATTCCGATATTAAAGATAAAAGTAGCAGCTTTTCTGCAAGTGGTCCAGAGGCAGCATGTGGGACAGAAACATCATGCCGCAGTGAGATACAAGAGTCTGCCATCAGGGACAATACTATGCAGGATGGACAACCTGGTATAAGTTTAACAGTCTCACAAAATCAAAATGAAGAGTTCAACAATGAACCTAACAGGAACAGACTCTTCCAAAAAACTAATGAAGAAAGTTATGGGAATAAGACTATTTTGTGGAGCTGCAAACAAAAACTCTTTGATTTTTCTCTTCTTAAGAATCCTTTTTTCTACATATTTACGTGGTCTTTTCTCCTCAGTCAGTTGGCATATTTCATCCCCACCTTTCACCTGGTAGCCAGAGCCAAAACACTGGGGATTAATATCATGGACGCCTCCTACCTCGTTTCTGTAGCTGGTAAGAAAGTCTACTTCAACCTCACCCTCAAAAGGAGAAATGAACTTAATTTTACAAAAATTTATTAAATTTAATTTTTAAAAAGCTTAAGAAGAATAATTTTTTTAAAAAAAGGAGTTGTGGGAAGGCCAGAAAAGCAAGTTTTTTGAGGCTGGTGGGAGCAGCAGGACTTTCCCTCCAACCTGTCACTGCATCTTGCACACAGGCTCTTCCCTACCAGACAACGGACCCCAAAGCAAGTCTTATTTTCATATGTCAGTATCTAAGTATTTGTTGGATACCGAACTTTAGAAAGCTGGTGCTCAGTGACAACAGCCATTTTAGCAAGCAAAAACAATCCTAGGTAGGCTGCACAGTGCAGTGGTTGAAAGGATTGGTTCTGGAGCTAGACTTTCAAGTTTTTGCAGTGTATGACAGTGTGACCTTGGGCAAGATACTTGCCTTCTCTGTGTCTCAATTTCCTTCTAATATATGAATAATAGCATCTACTCTCAGAAGGTTATTAGGATTAAGCAAGCAATGCATGTAGAGTTCAGAATAGTACATGAACCACTGTAAGCATTCAGTAATGTTCTAGTAGTATCTGTAGCTAAGAATTTTTCCCCCTTTAACTCAAAGTAAGAGGATAAGATAAATAAGCATACTAAGGCTAGTCATTAATGGGTAGGCTGACATTTAAAATGAACTAGAATGAAAAAAAAATCATTTTAGTTGAGTACTTATAAAAATGTATGGAAACAGAATGCTTGATCTAGAAGATATGGATTCTTTCAACTGACAAAATAGGGAGTCTAAAAAAATGAAAATGAATGAAATGGAACTGGTTTGCTCTATCTGGAAATTCTCAGTAGCTCAACATTAACTTTTCCCTTGCTAATTTCTGGAAAAGCCTATTTACCAAGCCCTTGCAAAACTGACTGCACCCCATTTCCAACTGCTTCAGTCAAATAAAACTTGTGTACACAAGAAAAAGATACATAGCTAAACTGACTTTTTTTCCACTAAAGCGTCTGGTAGTTCAATTTAGATCAGATTAGGGCTCCACAGCAGGACCAAAGAACATAATAAAGTTTCAGTATGTATCCTAGGAAATAACTGTAAAAATAGATATAGAGATGGCAGTATGAATTTTTAATTCCTTTTCGTGGAGCAATTTATGTTTGAACCATAGGAAGGATTTTAAGTATAAAACAACTGCAGCTCATGCTCCTCTTGGTGAAAATCTTTCAGTATTTAACTGCTACATTAACATATAATAGGATAAAGGATAAGAATGTCCTGTTATCATAAAACTAAGTGAAAAATGTTATTCTTAAATTTTATTCAAGTTACACCATAGTTCCAGTGTTCAAGAGATGATCTCCCATTTCCAGACTTCCTACATATTTTCAAGTTAAACGTAATAGCCTTTGGAGAAGGACTTAATTACCAAAACCTCATATACAATTATGAGTCTCAACATCTGTTTTTTTTCTTCACCATAAGACTTTATTATTTATACTCCAGTCTTCCACCATATGACTTCCCCAGGACACTAACCTGTGGGTTTACTAATCTTCAAGAAATCTCACTTCCTCACCACTTCAAGGGAGGCCTACTGAGCCCAGCGTTCTCTATAACCTGGTATTCCCAGTTTGGTGGTATGAGTTTCCCAAACACAGTCAGAAAAAATACCTGGTGAGTCCTCTACCCAACTCTGAAGGAGCCTTTCTGGTATTTTATTGATGTGTCTGGAATAGGTAAGTAAATGACAGAATCTATTGATAGACAAATGGAACCGTTTTTTTTTTTCTCTTATGTCCCAGCCTCAGGATGAAGTCATATTACTTAGGAAAAGATGCCTTTTACACTTTTCAAAAGGGCTAGGAAAATGGAATTAGGATTTCATAAGACCTTTTCAATATTGTTCCAGGTATCATTGAGACAGTCAGTCAGATTATCTCCGGATGGGTTGCTGATCAAAACTGGATCAAGAAGTATCATTACCACAAGTCTTACCTCATCCTCTGCGGCATCACTAACCTGCTTGCTCCTTTTGCCACCACATTTCCACTACTTATGACCTATACCATCTTCTTTGCCATTTTCTCCGGTGGTTACCTGGCATTGATACTTCCTGTACTGGTGAGTAGACGTACTCATTAATGTTCTTACACCATTTAGTAAAAGTGTTAACAATCACCTCCCCAAAAGAGAAAACATATTTTGTATTAATTTTATAATTAAAAACAAACATACTCAGAAACCTTGTAGCTATATCTTATCCAGCTATTCATCTTACCTTGGGGGGGTGGGGCCGGGGGGGGGGGGGTGAGAGGACTATCCCCCCGTGGGACGTGGGACAGGAAAGAAGAGCAAAATAGGGATGAGAAGGATTCCATTTTGCTTATCAGTCTCCCAGGTTAGACTTCTGTTCACTTCTTTCCTTCAGGTCAAGAAATTTCTTTGGTTCTAAGACACATCTTGGAAGAGTTCCTTAAAAGAAAAAAGGGCTTCCTGACCAGCACTGGCTTCTCTTTTGTTGAGAGAAGTTCTGTATACTTTAATAAGGACATTGTGTTTTTAACTCCTCTCCATCTTTACCCCAAATTGACATAAAGTCCTAGACCTGAACGGAACTGAGTTATACAAATACTTCTGGGTTTTTCTTGGAACCCCATGGGTTCTTAGAACTAGGCCCCCAGTGTGCTGCAACAGAATCCCCCGGAATCTTCTGACCTGATATCAGTATTAGCATAAGTGCTGCAGGATCTTATATGAGGCTTAAGCAAAAATCAAACTTTCTAAAGCTGAAATCAACTCCTGAGATATCTGATTTCTTATAAACCAATGGTTGGTATTCAGCCATAGGTGGATTCAATAATACCACTGTCAGCTCCAACTGTAAATACCATTTCCTAACAGAGAAGAGCAGTGAGGTTCAAGGGAAAAAAGTATCCCTGAACCAATTAAAAGATTTTTAAAAAGAAACAAAAACCAACGTTCCTTACTAATAAAATGAAAACACTGTCTGCCTACTGAAATTACTATTCCCTATCTGCCTCAGCTCTTTCATAATATCAGGGTAAAATGCCATCCAAATCACCTCAGAAGTCAACTGTTCACAGTTTCAGATGACATACACAGTATTTGCCCCTCTGTAGGCAAAGGTCTCCACAGAATTTCACCCTCAATATGGCTAACATTGGATTCTAATCCCTACAGGTTGATCTGTCTGGGAATTCTATGGTACACAGGTTCTTGGGGCTTGCCAGTTTCTTTGCTGGGATGGCTGTCCTTTCTGGACCACCTTTAGCAGGTAACAGCTTACCCACATTCTGAGTAAACTTCAAAAGCAATGAAACAAAATGCTGATCCATGATTAATGGTAACACGTAACGGTGTTATCAGGTTAAAAGAAACTGATGATTACCTCTGCTGTTCCTATACCAACTCTCACAACTCCATCACTAATCCAGGAGAATCTCAGGGTTAATTCAACAGATGTGCACTAGGCAGATTCTTACATTCTCTTGGGAGTCTTAGAGCAGGGATTGTGTGTATATCTACTTCTCTGGGGAGACAATCCAGAGTTTTATCAGATGCCCAAAGACCTATGATGGTTAAAAACAAAAACAAACAAAAGCTGTCTTGGATTAAGGCCAGAATCTGTGGAGAGGATATGTGGGGCCACTGGAGAACATTAAATACAAGTAGAGTAAAACTTGGGGGAGTTCTGTTTTTAAGTCAACTTTAAGACTGAAGCATTGTTTTACATTCACTTTTTACCTATTGGGACATTTTGTGCTTGCTGAACATTTAATCTAAGACTATTAAAAGACTGCCTACTCACACAAATTTCTTTAGGAAACAGACTTAAGCTTTAGTATCTTACACTATAGGTTCTCAATATAGTTGAATTACAAATTAGTACAGCATTTCCAATCATCCACAAAAAGGAATTCAGCCGAAAGCTTACTTCTGCTTCCCTCAGTCCTGAAGACAGAAAAAGGGTCTGATCTTGTCCCACTATCATTTTTTTAAACTAAGTTTTATAATGACAGTAGATTTACACCTCTATGAACTTAAGACTTAAAGGCAAATATCAAAAGTATAAAAACTTAATAAAAGAAATTATTACTGAAGGTAAAACAATGTACCACTATCTGAGTTTCAATTTAGGTATACCTATCTAAAGGAAAAAATTACACAAATACACAACTAAGTCCTTATTTGCATTTATGAACACACCTCTTCCCATGAGCTCTAACTCAGCCAATACTTCGTAACTGGAAAACAGGCTAGAATTTTATAGCCCAGAATTGTTATACAGGGAGTGGTAAAAGACCAAGCACCAGAGGTGGCTAGCAGAGCTACTCTATGGCTAGTATCCAGGTCAGTGAAATACAGAGTTCAAATACAGTTTGCTGATGAATTTTTTCAATTTTGACCCTTCTTCACTGGCTGTCCTAATGATGTCTTGGAACTTTTCAAGCCTATTAGGCCAAAAGTGTAGGGAAGTAACAAATACCAGGGCACAGAATATCTTATTCAAATGATGAAGGCAAATAACAAAACTACAACATGTTTAGAGATAAATGTTTTTGTATACATTTAAAAATATTTAAAGAGTTCAATGTATGAGAAGACAAAGCAAGTTTTGTGAGGAGTATTACTTAAAAGGAAAAAGCTATAGATGTATGTGTGGGTCTTGAAACCAATTTGTTGGTCATGATCTTTAAAAATTTTTTTTTTTAAATAAAAAAGGACCACGAGCAGATTAGAAATCAGAGTGCATCACTTTATTGTGAAACTTATTTCACACGCACACACACCTATGTAACAGAAAACATATGTGATGTAAAACACATTTCTTACTATTAGTGAGTCAAAAAAAAAAAGTTACAAGCCTTTTCTTACCCAATGTCCATGATACCCTAGCACTGTATGTGAGGATAAAGACAGAGCTCATGGTAGAATTTTTACCTGCTAACTCTGAAAATGTTATTTAGGCAATCATAAATTTTTTAAGTTCTACAAAAAAGTCAAAGGAAGTGATAAGGCTATTGCTGAAAGCTTAAGTACAGGTTTTCAGTCTGGGAGTTGCTCAGGGTATCTTAAACAAGATTATGATAATAATATATAATTCAGTTTATAATTAGTTTCCTGCTCTGTACCACGGTTTCTCATTGACTACAATGTAGTGCTAGGCTTCTTGCTGAAGGGAGACTTCGGGAGAGCCCTTGCTCTGTGAAGTGACAAGAGGGTTTTACGAAGGCCATTAGATTTGTTCCTAACTTCTGACTCCAGCAGCAACTACTAAAGAACATCAGAAATACTGAGTTACAGATCCACTCAACCCCCAACTGGTACAGGCAAGTTACGTTACTGTCTTTAGCTTTAACTAAATCAAAAGGCTTACTGGTTATAAAATATTAAATTCTAAACCAAACTTAGATCTTCCGAACTGTATGAGATCCTCATTTTTTACTTACCTAGACTTGTTATTACCAAATTACAAAAGGTGAAATTCCTATAAAAGATTACAGGTATTTAAAATAAGGAATCTAGCAAACAGTAAAATGTTTCACAATAATCCTCAGTCAAAAGACTAGTTAAAAATGGTACATGAATAATAGTTTTCTCCTTCCTGTATGGAAATAAAAAAGAAAAACAAGTTAGTTCTATACAGCATATTTTAAAAATTCAAGGAAAGGGGAATATAAAGCATAGGAAACCCAAGGAATCATATAACCGAGATTTTTTAAAGTTACTTTTTTCTTTAAAAAAACGTAAATAGAGCATATGGGCAAGAAAATTATTTATACATCTTTTGTAATGGTGATTATGATAAGAAATACAGTGGCAACAAAATTCTCCATCAGATCTTGGTTAAAATTGACAGGGATTGGGCTTCCCTGGTGGCGCAGTGGTTGAGAGTCTGCCTGCCAATGCAGGGGACACGGGTTCGAGCCCTGGTCTGGGAGGATCCCACATGCCGCGGAGCAACTAAGCCCCGTGAGCCATAATTACTGAGCTTGCGCGTCTGGAGCCTGTGCTCTGCAACAAGAGAGCCCGCGATAGTGAGAGGCCCACGCACCGCGATGAAGAGTGGCCCCCGCTTGCCACAACTAGAGAAAGCCCTCGCACAGAAACGAAGACCCAACACAGCCATAAATAAATAAATTAATTAATTAAAAAAAAAAAATTGACAGGGATTGAAATAAATAATAGTTTAAAAATTATCCCCCCCCACTCCCCACAAGCGACCACCCTGCCCACTCCACCCCACAGCTCTCCCTATTCTTGCCAATACTCAGCAACAAATTCAATTTTAGTTAATAATATGGCCTGCTTCAGACTGGACCAGTTTCCGGGTTTTTCTAGTTTCCTGACCTAGGTGGTCAGTAGACCCAAGGGTAGACCAAATGTCACTGTTCATCCAAACCCAAATGCTGTTTTTTTGCTGGTAGATGGCATCCAGAACTATACACTGACATCAAGATGGAAGCATTGGAAGGTTGTGGAAAAATAAAAAGTATTAATATTTTTAAAACTTAATATACATTTCTAATAGACCCCTGTTAACAAAAGTACACCTGCAGAAAGCAATCTAAATAGAAAAATAGTGCCTTCGGCAAAAAAAACAAGTATACAGTCATATTCTCCAATGTACAAGACAGATATAAGTTACTTATGTTAAATTCCTAGTCTTGTACCTGAGGTATTTTGACGTATGAGCTCAAAATGCTAAGGGCTGTTCAATTTCACTTAAAAATAAAACCACTTGGGCTTCCCTGGTGGCACAGTGGTTGAGAGTCCACCTGCCGATGCAGGGGACACGGGTTCGTGCCCTGGTCCAGGAAGATCCCACATGCCACGGGGCGGCTAGGCCCGTGAGCCATGGCCGCTGAGCCTGCGCGTCTGGAGCTTGTGCTCCGCAACGGGAGAGGCCACAACAGTGAGAGGCCCACGTACCGCAAACAAACAAATAAATAAATAAATAAAAATAAAACCACCAACAGCCCATATCAGCTGCCTATAAAACAAAACCACCGAATGTAGTTCCTCTCTCTTCCACATACACCCCCCTTTCCCAACTGATGAGTGCATATATTATGCTAATATTTATTTTAATATAAAAAATTTAAATCACAAATCTCTGAAAACTCCCTTAAAATGCCATAAATAATTTTGTTTTTGTTTTCACCACCAAAAATTTATTTTCCATCCATACAGGTGATTTCCCTTATCCATTTAGCCCTCCCTCCTGCCCCTTCCCCTCTGATAACAACTACTCTATTCTCTGTATCTACGTGTTTGTTTGGTTTGGTTTGTTCATTTATTTTGTTTTTGTTTGGTTCACAAATAATCATTTGATTATAACTCAGTATTCATTCAATAATTATTAAGCAACTTATTAGCACAGAACTCTACTAGCTGCCACATGGACAAAGAGAAGACAAAATTATTTGTTCAATGTTCTTTCATACCTTATTGGATCATGGTATAGCATTCACTCTGTCACCCACATACACTGCTTAACATTAGGACTTAGTCTAAAATGTCTAAAACTGAGAATTGTTAGAACTTGCATTCTTCTTCCACTTCATGAATTGAAAATTCGGTTGAGCCACTGTAACCCATGTCTCCATTTTCTTACCTTTAAATGAAGGCACCCTAAGCTTTGGTATAATAAAAATGACCTTAAAATATAGTAAAGCTTCACTCAATCAAGCAGATATTTCACAAAAATAATATTTTTCAACAAATTCAAGGAGAGTTATTTCTAATGCCTAATAACTATAAGTTGATTGTACTCCAGAATAAGCTAAAGGTAACTAGTTCCTAAAGAAGAAGTACATCTCTCTCTTGCTATTATTATTTTTTTTATTTTTATTTTTTTTTCCGCTATGCGGGCCTCTCACTGTTGTGGCCTCTCCCGTTGCGGAGCACAGGCTCTGGACGCGCAGGCTCAGCGGCCATGGCTCACGGGCCCAGCCGCTCCGCGGCATGTAGATCTTCCCAGACCGGGGCATGAACCCACGTCCCCTGCATCGGCAGGCAGACTCTCAACCACTGCGCCACCAGGGAAGCCCTCTTGCTATTATTATTCAACCTCACAATTCATCAGAAACACCATGGAGCAAAACTGGTAATTTTGCATTAACTTTTTCCAAGTTTTTTTCTTTTTTATAAATTTATTTATGTAGTTTTATTTATATTTGGCTGAGTGGGGTCTTCATTGCTGCACATGGGCTTTCTCTAGTTGCAGCAAGCAGGGGCTACTCTTAGTTGCAGTGAGTGGGCTTCTCATTCTCTTATTGTGGAGCATGGGCTCTGGGAACGCGGGCTTCAGTACTTGTGGCATGCGGGCACAGTAGTTGTGGCGCATGGGCTTAGTTGCTCCGCGGCATGAGGGATCTTCCAGGACCAGGGCTCGAACCCGTGTCCCCTGCATTGGCAGGCGGATTCTTAACCACTGCGCCACCAGGGAAGTCCTGCATTAACTCTTTATCTGCGCTTTACAAGAAAAGACAATGGCTAAAATGGAAATTCATCCATCTAAGCTTGTCTCTCTGTCCCATGAACACAGACAAGTTCATCTCCTCATGAAATGACAGGTCATTTCCTATCTCTATTACATCCTCATTTCAGATACAATGTTAAACAGATATTCCACCCAGTCCTCACTCCACCTTTTATCAACCATGCCCTCTAGAGTTTTATCAGTCATCTTGGCCTATCAGTTGAGAATTTCTCTACGGCCTGAAATTTTATTTGGAAAACAAACACACAAGCAACTCAACCTTTTGGTCTGCTATAAGTCCATTTTGGAGATTGGGGATACGGGGGACAAGTGAGAAGGCAGAACAAAGTTCTCTGTCCTTTAAATCCTGAGAAATATATTATACCCTGAAGAGGCAAAAGGAAACAATGTAAATCATTTCTTTATCCAGTGGTTATTTTCCCCATAAGCAACAAAACCCACAGAATTTTACTTTGATACAGCATTCCTAGGATTAATGAATCCCTACAAAAGCATCAAAAATAAATTCCAAATAGCTCTCTATTGTGGTTTAAAAAGGAGAGGGGGGAGGTAGTCCTTTCCTTGCAAGGCCAAGGAATCAAGTTTCAAAATCCTAACACAGACCACAATCCTCTTAATAAAACTTACAACACAGAGCCAATACTTATAGCACTACCAGTAAATCTTATGGCAAATTTCTATCATGAGGCCTTCAGAGAGCTCCTGTCTTAAAAGGCACTGAGGTTTATATTTGCTAAACCATGTTTCCCAAGATTTTTCCCTTCATGGCACATACAGGAAATATTTGTACAGCACACCCTAAGTAAAATGACAAGGCTGCTAACAGCCAGTGGGCAGCTCCAGTGACCCCAAGAATGTGAGAAGTTCATTGTCTCTGCACACCTTGGAAGTCTGCCACTATTCTACAGCCTAACAGCTAGCTCTGGTTCAACACCGGCCAGTCACTTACAGAATCCTCAGCAACTAATTTGAACTATCATCAAGGAACTTTGGAATTAAGGGCCTTCTAGGGGTATTTCAAATCTTAACAAGATGACCAATAATAAACTTACAGTAGTAATCCTATTGAAAAGGATTCATAAATCAGCTGAAAATCAACTTCTGAGATATCAGATATGAATACTTTTTAGACAAGATGTTAAACTCATTTTTAAACGTGTATGGCTTAACCCATAAAATGATTTAGAGTATCATTTTTAAAATGTTGACATTTAAAAAAATGAATTTAGATTCTATATTAAACATCAAACTTAAAAGATTATTCCAATCCCTTTTTTGTTGACTGTAAGAAAACTGGTTTGCAAAACTGTTTAAGGAAGTTGAGGCCTATCTTCTTAGTTGTTTTAAATTATCACAGGAAACATTATTAGATATTCCTACCCAGAACAAGGGTTACAGCTATAAAGAAGTAATTTGGACAACAACTTTATTGTATGTAAGAATCAACTGGGTGCCACCTAGGAGGAAGTATGCTTAGGAAGCCAATGAATTTGCACAATTAACATGCATCTTAAGTGAATCTGATGCAGGTAGTCTGGAGACACCAAGGAAATGCTTAGAGGGGACTTCAGCTTAGGAAGTCTGCACCAGTAGGCAGCGTACTCCTCAGAATGCTGGCTACATACAGTATTCCTTAGCATGGAGTGGAGGCTCAGATCCATTGCACGCTTTGCTGGACTGTGGCTGGTATTCTCTGCCACTCAAATGCTTTTGCTATGACCACAAAGAAACCCAGTCTTTTGAATGTCAACTTATGCGTGCATTTCCATTTGAAAATGATTAGAATGCAGTGGTTTCTGAACTACCAACAATAACCCTGAAACTGTTTAGGGTTGAAAGTGCATTTGTATACATCTATTTCGTGCTATTATAAAAAAAGTACAAAGACCTAATAAAATCAGATCAAATATACAGTCTTCTTCTTTTTTTTTTTTTTTTTTTTTGGCTGCACCACGTCGCGTGTAGGATCTTAGCTCCCTGACCAGGGATCGAACCCGCGTTCCGTGCAGTGGAAGTGAGGAGTCCTAACCACAGGACTGCCAGCCAATTCCCTATACAGTCTTATTTTACTTTCAATGGTGGGGAAAGGCTAATTATTCCAACCAAACAGAGATGTTTGGTTAGAGCAGCAAAGCTATGGATTTAACTTACCTAGTAGCCACTTAAATTTAAGCTTGATTATGAAGCTAATATTTTCATAGGACAATTAATTAATAATAGTACAATATAGTCCTGCATCTTACATTTCACCTCATATTTGCTATTATAAATAACATCTCAAAACTAAATACTCAACTGCACATTATTATCGTATGGAATGGCAATTAGATCTTAGAGACAGAATTTTAAAATATACTAATCTCTCAACAATCAAGCATGAATGGGAGAAACAGATTTAAAACAAATTATTTCATTAAACTTTGCATTGGTTATTCCCTGGCAGTCCAGTGGTTAGGACTCAGCGCTCTCACTGACAGGGGCCCAGGTACAATCCCTGGTTGGGGAACTAAGATTCTGTAAGCTGTGCGACACGACATAAATAAATAAATAAATAGAAACTTTGCATGGAAATACATGGAAACAGTTCTAAAGCATGCTAAGTAATTCCCTGCCCTGGTAAGAAAATACACTAAATATATCTTAATCTTTCACATTTCAGAAACAACATTCTGACTTTAAATGTGTGTGAAATGAAAGGCTTATAAGCAGTTTTCTCTTAAACTGTTTTAGTCCCTCCAGGATTTATAAAACAACTCAGTTTCACTATTTTTAGCTTTACCCTCCTGACCTTTTAGCAGCACTATCTACCTCCCTCTCCAAGAATTTGTAGTCTTTTCCTAGAGTGTTACTTCAAATACCCCTGTCTTACAATTCACAGGTTATATATAAACTGGTAAACTGCTATACTAAGGGACGAAGGCAAGAATGACAAAGGATAAGAGGGGGTGCTGCTGCTTTCCACAGTTCCTCCTTCATAGAAATTTCTAGAAAAACTGACAGATTGGTCAACCATTTCTTAGATATCTAAAGGTCAATCAACATAATACAAAGACTTGTCCCAGTCAGTTTCACTATTTTGCTTAACTCCAAGAAACATTTAATTGAGGTCACTGATCAAACAGTAAAAGCAAGTTAAAGTTAGCTGAATTTAAATAAAACATTCCATTCATTCATTACATTAAGGAAAGGAAACAAAAAGCTAATGAAGCAAACAAACAAAAATTGAAAGTCTCTATCAGAGCCAAGTAAGAGAATAAAAAGGAGAGGAGATAGAGACACACAATCAGACAAAAAAAAAAAAAAAAAAGGGTATACTCTACACATCCAGTGAGAAATCATGTTCCAAGACATAAGTGAAAATCAAAAGATACAATGTAAGCTCCATGCAGACAGATATTTTCATCCATTTTTGTCCATGGGTTTATCCCTAGTAACCAGAACTGTGCTGGCATAGAGTACCAAAATTTTTTGAATAAATGATCAGAATAACATCCTTGACTTAAGGTTTTTCAAGATTTTAAATATAAAAACTTATAAAAGCCAGATTGTAAGTTTGCATCTACAAACATAATATGCATACAATAATCTAGAAAAGACTGTGACTCCCCGAGAGGTCCTGAGCCCTTTTTAGGGAGCCTGAGGTCAAAACTATTTTCATAATAATATTGAGACATTATTTGCCTTTTTCACAGGGTTGACTTTTGCAATAATGTATAAACATTGGTGCCTTGCACAAATATTCTTTGCCACCACAAGCTCACACTTTTTTTAAAAAAAAGCGTTTCACCTAAGAAGTTCTAGTATGTGCCATTAGCCAAATGATTTTGAGGACCCTCCCAATTCTTGCTTTTAAAAGAGCACTTTGAGATTTCAGGGGGAATTATCGTCATTGTTTAACCCACTTGGCCAAGTAAGTCAGTTCCTTTTCATTTGTTCTCATAACCTCCTGAACCATCCATCCCCTCACAGCCTTTATCGCAGGTGTAATTTATGTGGTTAATACCAAATCCCCACTAAACTATATGGTCTATGAGGGCAGGGACCATGTCTGTTTTGGCTCATTATCATATCCTCAACACCTAGCACGTTGCTGGGAACACAGTAAGAATTCAAATGTCTGTTCAGTGAAGGAAAAAAAGATAATAATCAGTTCTCATTTTTTTCTTTGGAAAATAGTAATTCACAAAACTTTTCTTCGTAAGAATAGTGGTCTTCTAATAAAATTCATTGTAAAATGAAATGGTACGTGTTCCTAATTTTCTCCAACTTCCAATACAAGACTAGAGATGGGCTCTGGGTTCACAATTACTTTTAACCCAATGTTTAAACCCCTAACTCAGATGGAATTGATTTAACTTCATCAATAGAAAATAAGACAGGTAAGCAGCTTGACTAACTTTCTAATGGGTCACAATACAGACTAGTAAGTACAGGAGGCTCCTTCCTTCAAGGAACGGTTCATGGCTGAGAACTACTAATGGAAAGGTTTGCATCACTAACAGAAATCCTTCCTTCCGTATAGGCTGGTTATATGATTATACCCAGACATACACCGGCTCCTTCTACCTCTCGGGCATATGCTATCTCCTCTCTTCAGTTTCCCTTTTCTTTGTACCACTGGCTGAGAGATGGAAAAACAGTCTGACCAGAAAGAGAGAGGACTGCAATCAAGTGAGAGCTTAACAAAAGAAAGTCTAAACTAAAAGTCACTGGAAACAAAAGCATGGAAGAAAAGTACCCGCATTTGTAAACTAAGAAGGTGAACCACATAATTTTTTAAGGTTCCTTTTTGCTTTAGCACTCTGAAGAATGTCTAACTGGTGGTAAGAAAAGAGTAATAGCAACTTAAATTAAACTCTGTTAGTATTTAATCAAATAGGCTAAAATTTTAATCAGTTGAAGCAGTTACTTTAGATATTAAATGAAAATCAGAATGTACTGTAATAATAAATTAACCAAACTCTCAGTTGTGCCATGGTAATTCAGTCGCAAAAATATGTAAAGACAGAAAACCATTTTCCTTCATATAAAGCAGTATTAAACAGAGCCATTGAACTCTGGAATGTGAATGAACATTGAAACATTGTTTAGTGACTGGAAGAGTATACACCCCCCAAATAGTTTATCTTTGCTTCTTAACTAGAGATAATCTTTGTTTTCTTTCATTATTTTGTTTCTTAAATTTTCTATAATAAACATGTATTGCTATGTAATAAAAAATAAATAAGAACTGCTAAAAAAAGAAAAAACCCCACAAACAACAAACCTTTATTGCAAGATCATTTGAATAGTATTCCTACTCATCCAAACAATGTTACTTTTTCACTATATCTAATTATCTGGAATGTTCAAGCTAAATATCTAGACATATCTTTAGAACAAGTTTTATATGAAAGTTGAATAGGTGGCTCTTAACGGGAGATAAACCAAAAGATGTTTCTTAAATATGGAATAATTATGTTAACTAATTAATGTCACTTAGACTAAGCAACTGCATGTAGATAGAGAGCTCTTCATTATCCGGGTGATTTTAAAAGGAAAAAAAGACCACCCTAGAGTTCTCTGCAATACCAACCTCCTCTAGAATCTCCTTCTGAATGGTCCTCAAGACTATTATTACTATTATTATTCCATCTTTCCATTCCTGTCTGCTTTGAAATATCTATTAATTCCCTATAGAGAAAAATCCTAAACTGAAAGCCTGGTTTTAGCTCCAAAATGCCACATCCTCTCACTCTCTACGTGTGCCTTTGTACAAGCTGTGCCACCAGTTACAATCCCAATGGCTTGCCATTCTCCACCAGGCACGGTCTCACTTATCCTTCACAATCTGACTCACCAAAAGCCTCTGAAAAACCTCCCCCAGCATTGTCATTCTCTCCTCCGTAATCTCATCTAACTTTTTTTTTAATTAATTAATTAATTTATTTTTGGCTGCGTTGGGTCTTCATTTCTGTGCGTGGGCTTTCTCTAGCTGTGGCAAGTGGGGGCCACTCTTCATAGCGGTGCGCGGGCCTCTCACTATCGAGGCCTCTCTTGGTGCGGAGCACAGGCTCCAGACGCGCAGGCTCAGTAGTTGTGGCTCACGGGACTAGTTGCTCCGCGGCATGTGGGATCCTCCCAGACCAGGGCTCGAACCCGTGTCCCCTGCATTAGCAGGCAGATTCTCAACCACTGCGCCACCAGGGAAGCCCTAACTTACTTTTTTTTTTTTTTTTTTAAATCTGTATTGGAGTATAATTGCTTTACAATGGTGTGTTAGTTTCTGCTTTATAACAAAGTGAATCAGTTATACATATACATATGTTCCCATATCTCTTCCCTCTTGCGTCTCCCTCCCTCCCACCTTCCCTATCCCACCCCTCCAGGCTGTCACAAAGCACTGAGCTGATCTCCCTGTGCTATGCGGCTGCTTCCCACTAGCTATCTATTTTACGTTTGGTAGTGTATATATGTCCATGCCTCTCTCTCACTTTGTCACAGCTTACCCTTCCCCCATCTAACTTTTAACAGAGCACTATATGAGCTGACATGTCAATCTTTTCCATCAGTCTGCAAGATCAACAAGATGGATCTATTTCCCAAGGGCCAGCACCAATTCTGGAACCAAATTAATCTGGGTTCACATCTGGGTTATCTTAAAAACTGCAGTTGGTCCTATTTAAAATGTATAGGTTTTACACTTAAATGTAAATGTCTAACATTCCTTTTACATTTCAGATGTAAGACAATATGAATAGAGCAGAAACAGTGCCGCCTCACACAAACAGCAAAAATAATAATAAATCCAAGCTCTGCTACCTGTTACTATGTAACCTCGTGAAAGTTAGCCTCTCTGAGTCCCAATTTCCTCCTCTGTAAAATGAGGATACCACCAAGCTACCTCACAGCTATACTATGAGGATTAAATGAAAACATACTTGTACCAAGCAAAATACCCTTCATACACAGTAGCTGATAATTTCCTTTCTTCTTCTTTCTACATCAAAGCACAAGATTAAGAAAATCAATGATTTACTAGGAACCACTCTCATCCGTCCCCCCTTCCCTCTTGAGCAATAACTGTTCTCAAAAGACGTTAACTACCTAGGGCAACTAGTTTCTTTCCTCCTATGAAAGCAAACTATACATTTTAAGCAGAACCAACTACAGGGAGTTCCCTGGTGGCCTAGTGCTTAGCATTCAGGGCTTTCACTGCCATGGCCTGGGTTCCATCCCTGGTTGGGGAACTGAGATCCCGCAAGCCGCGCGGCCAAAAAAAAATAAAATAAAATAACCCACAAAACAGTAAAAGTAGAACCAACTAAAGAACTCCAAGTTGAATTCTGATTTACATAGGCTTTATGATTCTTACACAACAGAGCAGTTCTTCATCCTACTCCATGCTAATAGCCCCTCTAAACCTGGGCGGTGTGGATCAAGAAAGACTGACTCCCTAGACTACAGGAAGCTAAAGACTTCATAGCTAATGTATTCACTATATTAACAATCAACTTTAAATGTTCCTATTCATTTACTCCTGCCCTTGAACAATATTATAAGATGTTAACACATTTCTAAGTAACCATAATCTAGAAATACTATCTCGGACAGATACAGGGTTTCAAGAAAAGCAAGAGTACACCGATTTTCTATCTCCTTCCCCCTCAAGATATCCCATGGGACAAAGAGGAAACAAAGAGGCTTAGCATGTGTTTGGAGAAGTAGGCTGGTGAAGAACTTTATTTCAACATCTAATACATACTAGTCACTGAGGCAGACACATTTTATATTTAATCTTAATTTAATATTCACAAACTTTGGAAGAAAATACTATGATGACATTTTACAAATGTATAAACTTAAGGTCAAAGTAATTAAACACCCAGTAAGTAGAGGAGTCATAACTCAAACTCAAACTGACAGAAAACCCTACACTTTCCCCTTCAGACAACCCTTGCTTCTTAGCAGTGTCACAAGATTACGAAGCTAATTTAATTGTAAGCAGTTATCTTATAATAAATTCGTTCTAACTCAAATTGGCATAAACTTTTAATATCTAGATTGAAATGAAAATGAGGATGCAAAATACCTAAGAACCAAAACAAACAAATTAAAGTCACAAAACACATCTGCTACAATGCAATAATAATGTAGTTGTTAAAGATAATGAACTTTTTTAGGTCTTCCAATATTCACCAACCCTGACCAAAGGAGGTAATGCCTAAGTATGTGCCACTTATAATTCCTCAATACTAAAATATTAGTTGAAATGTTTATAAAGTATTATCTATAAACATACATATTTAGTAGAGCATGATAATTTGAACATAAAAGTTCAATAATACTTTCTTCACAGTTACTTGCTGAGATATTTAAAACTATTAAGATACCATTTCTTGCTGTTCTTACTCTAAGAAAATGTCATACCACCACTGTAAAAGGAATTTTCTACATACGCTGTTCACGAAATACTATTTCTGATACTAAAACTCTACCCACATGGAGCAACTAAGCCCGTGTGCCACAACTACTGAGCCTGCTCTCTAGAGCCCGTGAGCCACAACTACTGAGCCCGCGCACCACAACTACTGAAGCCTGCATGCCTAGAGCCAGTGCTCCGCAACAACAGAAGCCACCGCAATGAGAAGCCCACGCACAATGAAGAGTAGCCCCGGCTCGCGGCAACTAGAGAAAGCCTGCGCGCAGCAATGAAGACCCAATACAGCCAAAAATAAATAAAATAAATTTATAAATAAATAAAACTCCACCTTATAGTACTTTTCAGTTTTTAAAGTTCTTTCCCACCTATTACCTCATCAGCATCATGCTAATCCTGTGAGGAAGATGGATAGGTATTAATATTCCTGTCTTACACCTAAGGACAAAAGCAAATTAAGACCAAGTTATTTGCCTAAAGTTACAAAGCTAGTCCTAATGGAGCCAATTCTAAAAACTAATTAACAACGCTGATTAGATCACAGCCCCTGGCTTTTCTTCTTTAATGATTTCCTAAAAGTATAATAAAAGCAACAATTACTTAAATGGACTGAAATAATTTGTGATATTTTTCAAATAATCTAGGCATATTAACATATGTGATGCTATGTTTGTTTGCAAAAAATTAGCTCCTTAGCACATAAACTTGCCTAATTGTAAAACTGGCTTTTTCCATGAGAAAAAAAAAAGCACACCGTGTATTAATATTTGATTTTAGATGTAATTTTTAAAAATCCAAACCTAGTTCCTCTGAGGACCTCATTATAAAACCAAAGCTCAATACTTATTAAAAGCCTTGAGTGTTTCTCTTAAAACAGAATCAACTTGTATAAGGCTTTAAGACATATATACATATATATTTGCCTCATTTGGCTACTCATTCACCACAAATATCTACCTAAATGTCTCACATTTATCACCCATGGTCTTAACATGGGGACACAAATGAAAAACAACAAAAGTCCTTGTAATCACCTTTAAATTGATCAGTTTAAAATTCATGTTTTAGGGCCTCCCTGGTGGCCCAGTGGTTGAGAGTCCGCCTACCGATGCAGGGGACACGGGTTCGTGCCCCAGTCCGGGAGGATCCCACGTGCCGCGGAGCAGCTGGGCCCGTGAGCCATGGCCGCTGAGCCTGCGCGTCCAGAGCCTGTGCTCCGCAACGGGAGAAGCCAAAACAGTGAGAGGCCCGCGTACCACAAAAAATAAATAAATAAAATAAAATTCATGTTTTATTTCTATGAGAGGGAAGCTGGCATTACCTAGGATCACTGAGACAAATAAGACTATCATTTCTTTAAAAAGAAGAACTTACCCTCTGGTAGTTTCCAACAGAAGCTAACATATTGTAAAAATCTACTTCTATCCAAAACGATGATCAGTAACAACCTAATGACATTGTTTCAGGCATGCAGAGAATAAGACAGGGTGACCAACTGTCTGGCTTGCCTGGAAATAAGTGAGTTCCTGCGACCTATGACTC